ATGGGTTCTTTGATTGAGCCGCTCCGTGTCACCAAAAGGCGTCATAAGGCGCTCGGAGTTGGGCATGCGCTTCACAAGCTTTACTTGCGAAAGCTTCCCCAAACCCAGGACCTCAACGATTGACTGCCTGACTTGCAGCATGGTAGAATCCTTGCGCACCCACAGCGTCATCTTCCTGTTGTCAACTGCCCCATGTTCGACGGTGATCTTCACCTTCTTCGGCTTTACCGGAGAGGAGGTTCGGGCAGCCAAAGTGCCGGAACCGCCACCATGAATTTCAATCGATTCCATGTAGGCTGGCAGGTTCTTCCCCTTCGTCTCAGGCTGCGCGAAAAATTCTTCAAGGCGATTCAAATAGCCTTGCAGGTCTGCGTAGGTATACGGTGGGGAGAAGGCGAAGTACGTTGTGGCCGACCCCGGCTCCAGAACGTAATCCCAGGCAATGTAGCAGCTCTTGCCACGCTTCTTTGGTGGCTCGGGCCCGCTGTCCAACATCGCACGAATCTTCGGCAAGAGTCGCTCATCTTTCTGGCATTGCTCACTCCTTACTTCCACCTGATAGGGAGAGCTTGTCGTATGTTCCATGTTCAGGGCTCCCAAAACACATCTGATCACATCTGCCCTAAGCTGCAGGCGGGTTTGGTGTCATCCACCAGATGGCCAGGCTCCTGCAATGGAGCAGGGTCACAGCAAAGCCCGACTCTGCAGACTCCGACTATCTTTGACGCGTGGACCGTTGACCGCCAATGTGCAGGCCCTGGTGCATCGGAAACCCTGCCCGGTGTCACCCGACGCAGTGTATGCTGACCCTGGTACACGATAGCTGTGTGGACCGGTGCAACGCCAGGGTCGCTTGGGCTTCAGTTTGCGAGGGTTAATGTCTTAGCGTGCGCAGATGCTTTGTCCTGGCTCCAAGGCACTCTCGCCTGGCATCAGCCTGTGTCCCTCTTCACGCAAGTTTATGTCACTGTGCAAAAATGTAAGCATGTGTATTAATACTGGCCAAGACTCAATGCATGCTGCCTCCACCCATTATGCTCGTGCAACTGTGAGTAATGGCCCGATGCCTAAAATGCTGTGTCAAGATGACGTACATGTGGGTCATCCGACAAAAACGTTGTGGCCACTGGAGTGATTGTGGTAACGCTCGCACCTGACTACGTGTAACTCTCCGTAAGCCTGACAAACGTGCTACCTGCTTTGCCTAAACAGCCTCACACTTGTGTAAATTACCCAAACATGCCTTGCCATGACTGAACCACTTCGTGGAATGAAACTTCCAACGCTGTTCTGTTGAAGACTTTGAACTCAGTCGCCTGCAAAATCCACAATACCTGACGGATACGTGGAGCCAACTGGGCTAATTGTTTCGACTGGACCAGGAAAAGGCCTCCTGGCAAGAGAAATTGCAGGACTCATCTGCCAAACGTCGCCATGCCGGCGAACCAGGCAGCTTGCAAAGGAAAGGACGGTGACCGTCCAAGTTGTACAGGTCGAGCATGTTGCTCATGTTGTTCACCTGAGTATGTACGGAGGCCAGCTGATCGGACAGTTCTACGGCGGCAGAGCAAAACGTCAGTAAAAAAGTTCCTGCTTGTCCTTGACTGCCATGCTCGATGAATCCGTGGCCCCCCTTTGCTGACTGGTCACAACAAAGCGCACCTTCTGAGTGGAGCTCACGAGCGAGCGTACGCCGAAGTAGAACCAGCGCCGGCGGCCAGTGGATTCAGTACCTTTGCGAGGCTTCCTAAGGATCTACGGATCTCCACCAGTGCCGAGCCATGGTCCGAGGGCTGTCAAAGTGCCGTCCGAAGGGTCGGCGCGCAGCACTACATGAACCAGCTCCGGCCCCTCTTCCTCTGGTCGCTCCGCTCGGGCGCCTGGGACAACGCCCAGCTCAAGGCTTTTACGCGAAGCACATGCCCCGGCTCCTGGACCTCGTTCCACCAACCGGACAACCGCTCCTTGAGATTGCCGTGTCGGCCTTATTGAAAACCTTGAACACAATCTTGTAAGGGGGCTCCTTATGTCAGTAGCGGCATCTACTCTACTATGACAATGGCATGCACTCGTGTCCTGTAAGATGTTGCTGGCACGTCACATCCCAGCTTCTTGCTTAGTAATGCTTTCCGGGCAACGAGCTGCAGGATGCTTTGGCCAGACTTGGCACGTGTGCCACTTAGACGCTAGAAGGCTAGGAGCCGCAAAAACCAAAGGAGCAATGCAAAACATGAAGGGATTTGGGCGGTGGAACTCTGGGACAGTTTTCGCCCTCCAATGGCCTGATGGGTCGCTGAAGACTTCGCCGTTGGAGCCCTCAAAGTTGCTCAAGAAATCCAGGCTAGAAGTTCGGGTCACCTTCCACCGCAAAACGGCACATCTCGTTATTGTGTGCTTTGCTGGGACACCCCTCCTGCCTTCAAGCCACCCTCGAGTGGTACGGGGTGACCAGGCTGACCCTGCCCGGGAGCATCCGCATCCGCATCCGTGGCCTCACCTTTCTTCACACTCACCTCGAAGATGCAGGCTGCACTAGACCGAGAAAATTGAGGAAGAAGAACACTGCTTTGACTCGGGTCATTCAATCGCAAAAGCATCCGAGCTGTCGGCCATCCGTCGACCGTACTTCCACTGGCTGGCTAGATCAGGGCGAAGTTGGAGCTCGGACAGCGTCTCATCCTGCGAAGAGGTTAGCACCCCTGATTCAGAAGTCTTGCGCACACCATGCCTGCGCAGGTGCTGCAGGTGACCTTGCAGCCGGAGCGCGATACCTAAGCTCGGCGTCTTCAGCTGCTGGTACCAGATTACCAGACTTTGCAGAAGCTTGGGGAGGGGTTGCAACAGTGGGACCTGCTCTCGGCTTGGAAATGCAAAGGATGCAAACTTCGGCAAGAGTGCCAAGAAGTGTGAAAACTAAACAGACCGCAAAGATGATAGCGGAGATTGTCGACGTCAGGAGTGCTTGGCAAGCCTCTCCTGAAACAAAAGCAAGCCTCGATGCCGATTCTACTGGCTGCAGCGGCCAGTACTATGCACATGTTCGCTGTTGTGGCCATCTATGTTGGTGGCAGTCCACGTGCGGCCTGGGGGAAGGGCTCGAGGCCAAGACTGAGGAGAGAGTCCTATTACGCAAAGTCCACAAGGGGCCTCGGGTGGCTGCCATTTGCGAGGCCAGCGCTCAAAGCTTCAACGGTCTGCCTTACGTTCCAAAGTCAGGCCGCCCGGCTCTTCCAGTCATGACCAAAGTACCTCGCTTGAGGGGGCAGGAGTGCTTCAAGTTAAGCTACTGTACAGGGTTGTGATTACAACTTAGGATCGGCTTCGTCCTTCAAACATTGGCAAGCCTTTGAATCTCACGTTCGTGTCCCGAATGTGGATGACCTATTTTTCGGATGAGAATGTAGCCTGGGATGTGCAAAACAAATGGTTGCTGAACAACTCAGCAAGGGTGCCTGGCTCTCACAGCTGCACCAAACTCGCTGCCACAGTGGTGTCATTGCAGGCTCTGAGTGGCCGAGATCCCGTGGTTGCAAAGGCTAGAGATGCTGCGAGGAGCTGCTTCAGAACTGGCCCCTGGAGAATTGCAAGACTCGAAGCTGGCTCGAGCCAGAATCATAGCATCTCATGTCGAAAGAATCTCACTGTGTTGGCGAATTCTGACAGGGCAACGCTCCGCGGAGGACGTGCTGCAGACCTGTTGATCAGGAGCTGTGCGCCTTCCGGTGCTCCGATCTCCCTCGTCGAGTGAATCTTTACCATCACATCGAAGGAGGAAGTCCACTGTACAAGCATGCCCTGTCTTCGCAGGGGTCTGGGCCCGCTGTACAGAATGCCCACTATTCAGGAAACTCGGAAACTGCTGCCGAACTACACGAGCACAGAGCCCAACCTCCTCTGACTCATCTGCATCACGCCGCGGCACATTCCCACCGGACCCTTGCCCTCAACCTGCCAGTGCGTCCAGCTGGCAATGGAATGGAAGTTGAAGTAATACTTTGAAGGATTGGAAGCAATGTCTTTCAATCGGGATCCCAATGTGAATCCAGCATTCTGCCCGTCAGCGAAGTTGCCCGTCATGGACATCACGGCAGCACGGTTCTTGTAGTGAGCACAAGGAGACCTTCATGGTCATAGAATGAAGTTTGTTTTTGTTGACGCCAGAATGGGAAGGGCGCCCTTCCTCCTACTACTCGATTTTTCAATGCCTAGACGCCAAAATGAAAAAGGCAAAGGGGTACCACTGGGAGACCTAGTTTCTTGTAGGGGCTGCCATCAGCAATCATTCCAGGACCGTTGTCCCCGCAGAAGTTGATCACTGGAGGGCCTGAACCATTCTCACCATCTCCGTCGGAGGCCAGGTGAATGTGTGATGCAACGAGCTGAGTGCGACCACCGAAGACATTGGCCGTGCACTGCATGCCACTACGGCTGCAGAGCTTGCAGTCAACATAAGCTTTGGCTTCACTGTCAGGATTATGCGGAAAAGACTGGACCAGGGTATTGAAGCTGAGCTCGCTGAACATGTGATAGCACTCGTCGTCAACCATCTCGGAAGCGGCTAGAGAAACAGGCTGTGTCTGCTCTGGAATGGACCCCTTCGGCACACAATGGGAATACCAGGAGTTCATCTGGGAACAGCTGAAGCCAGAGTCGCAGCACGTCGGGCCCGTCCATCCGGTGCCGCCGCATTGGACCCAAGCTGTCGCACAGGTCTCGGGTGCCTCAGACGCTTCAGCCAGCAAGGTCACCGCCAGCATCGACAGAAGCAACTGCCGGGCCATGTCTGAGCGTCTGAGAATCGAGATCCTAACGGCAAGAGGGCAGTGCGGCCTTCCACTTCGAGCCATGGACATGCAAACGCAAGCAGACAGCCAATGATTACACCAAGGGCGATCGCTGCCGATCCAAATGCAGAAGGCAAGGAAACCTCGTGCTGCAGTAAGGCTCGACACAAGCCTAAAGTCTAAAGCAGCAGTGCGATGCTTGAGCACTCGGTTTGTTCACCGAAGCAGCATGACCGGACTCAGACCGAATTTCTCAATTCTCCCTAGGATGCAACGGGCTGCATACCACCTTTCGGCTTCCTCACATAGTGCAACCGCATCACCACATAGCACAACCGTGGCTGGGATTCGCAGTTCAGCAGCATCCATCAAGAGTTCGCAGGTGCCCTGCCATCGTCTTGTCCGTCGACAGCATCTCATGGCCGTGTTCAAGGTAATGGCATCTGGTGCAAGATTGCGTGCCCATGTATACCTTAGCAGTCCAGAAGCAAGCTGCCATTGCGATGCCGGCTCACAGGCAGCGACTGCAGCATTGCAAGCATAGATGAGGCATGCAGATGCAGATTCGCCAGATGCGCTTGCGTCGGCTGCTTGCAAGAAGTCCATGCTGTTCAGCACGGCAAGGGCGTGCTTCCAAACCGCTGCAGTAGCACAAGCGCTTGCTGTGGCAGAATACGTGAATTCGTCATGCCGCAGGTTGATTCTGCAAATTTCATCCGCTAAACCCAAGGCACGCCTCCACTTCTGAACCTGTTCAATAGCAGATATTGCTGAGTTGAAAAGTATAACGTCAGACTGCCTGTCGAGGCTGCCCACTTGAACCAGAGACAAAGCGTTGGTCCATCGAGCCGCTTCAGACGTGCTGATCAGTGAGGCACAGCTGATAGCATCCGGAAGCAGCTGCTTGTCCATCATGTCATCAAGTCGATGAAAGGCTTGCTGCCATCCAGCCGCCTTGCCCAAGGACGAGACGACTGTGTTGTAACTGCACGCATCTGGTTGCACGAGCCATTCACTGAAGGAGTCAAGCAGCTGCAGTGCCCGCTGGCGAACTGAAGCCTTATCACAACTGCCTAGCGCAATGTTACAACAAAGAATATCGACAACTGGCGGCACATACATCGCCACCTCGCTGAGCAACGCCACTGCTTGTTGCCACCGTCCGGACTGCTCGCAAACCATGAGAACTGCGGAGCAAACCCGTGCTACATGTACTTTTCGCGATCGAGCCCGGGCATACATGAGAAGCGCCTGCTGCCATGCGCCTGCTAACCTGCACGAGCCAATAGCTGACGTGTATGTAGCCACGTCCGGCCGCATGCGCCTAGCGTCAACCTCAAACAGAAGAGCAAAGGCCCTCTGCCACTCTCCTTTGCCTGCAAGGCTGTGGATGACCGCATTGAACATAATCAGATCTGGATCTGGAAAGTCTGGGTCGTCGCAGGATCGTTTCAAGAGCGCCAGAGCTTGCTCGCAGTTTGGCGCCGCGCCGCAAGCCTGAATTGCCGACGTGAGGGCAATGACATCCACTCCGCCTCGTTGCATCACCCAGTTTTTGAGAAGCTGCAAGCCGGCGAGCCACTGCGAGGCTCCCGCAAACACATCCAGTGCCGTGTTCTTGCAGACGGAATTGGCTCTCAGCAGCGCTGCTCCGGCGACCGCCAGGAGCTTCGATGCCCAGCGCCACGGTCCGCTCTGCGATCTCTGCGAGACGTGGCGCTCGTCCGAGCCGAGGGCCGCGAGAGTCACTCCGAGAGAGTAGGCGTCTGGTCGCAATCCACGAAGGCCACCGCTTTTTAGTGCTGCAAAAGTCAAGACGGCGAGCTGCCAGCGTCCAAGCCTGCTCAGTGCGTTCTGGACCATGACATCGTCCTGCAATCCCAGATCGGCAATCTGGCTTAAGGACCGCAACGCTCCTCGCCAGAATGCAGCTCTCTGGCACGCTGTTGCAACAGCGCTGCATGCGACAGTGTCCAACTCAATGTGATCAACCAGGATTTCTTTTGCCAGTTGCACTGCATGCCTCCATTCCGCCGCATTGCCACATGAAGTGATGCCGACCCCATATTGCTTCAACGAGTGCCTGGCCTGCAAATCAGAGCCCGGTAAAGCCAGCGATACCAAAGCCCGCTGCCAGCTGCCAGACTCAGACCGGGCTTGGAGGCACAGACGGCCGCGTCGGCCGCTGCTCTGCATTCGCACATCTTTGGTCACCGGATCTGCGCATCGGCCGCCCTGCAAAAGGCTGCTCGCAGCTCTGTCTGGGCGAGGCCGAGCTCGGGAGCGGGAGCAAACTCCAAACCGCACAGACGGCTGCGAGAAGATACCATCGAGAACGACGTAGCACGACCGATCACGACCGCATGTGAGTCTTCCCATAAACGTGCTGTGGTAGCAGCTTTTGTCATGAGGCGTCCTTCGGAGTCTCTGGATGGTAGCGCACTCCGCAGCTGTGGCTTGACCATGCCAGTCTTGCGGGCTTGCGTTGAGGCAAACTGTCCTGGAGAATTGGCAACGTTTAAAGTCTAAAGATGCCCTCACATGCCTGATGTGCCATGCTGGCTGTTAGGGTTTCCAAGTCTTCCAGGACAAGTTGATGTACAATGAGGAAGTGAAACTGCGCACCAGCAGACCTACGTCCTGTACCTCCTTGGCACCTACCTGCAAGAAGTGCCTTCTTGCTCCCCGATACCATTTCAAGGAAGAGAGGCACAAGAACACTGCGGCACAGACAACTCTGCATAGCTCTGATTGAGCGTGGAGAGTCGAAGCATTGACAACTTACAGCTGCAGCCATGTGCAGACATCAAGGCATGTGTGCAAATCTTGCATTGCCACTGAGCTCTGTGGCTTGACTTGACACGCCGAGGAAGAATGACAAGAGAACTGGAACACTAACCTCTCACTTTGTAGGTCGCCGCAGACTTTGGACGATTCAACCTACCGAGTCTGGGGGGGGAATTTGCCAAAGCATGAGGCAGCGTTGGCTTCACCTAGCTGAGCAAGCTTGCGGCCGGCGGAGTATCTGTGACAGAATGCAGCTTCGAACGAGTTCCTGCAAGACACCTCAGAGCCTCATGACCCAGGAGGCTACAGCGGCCTGGCTGCAGAGGGCACGTCGGCTTCCGGCACCACGAGGCTGCATGCCGAGTCTGTAGACAGCCGGGGCAAGCTCCTGCAAGTTCGGGACAGTTCTGCAAGTCGGCTTGATAGTCACGGGATGAAGTCGTTGCCTTCCCTTCTCGAAGGCGTCATCCGCAGGCCTTCTGGGGCCTCACAAGTCATGGAGCAACGACCCTAGCCCTGATTCGCCCGGTTCGGCTGCATGCCTGCAGAATGCGCAAGTCTCGCTTGATACTTTAAGGTCCACATGTTGTGTCACATCACCGATGCCTGCTCCGGCTGACATGGAGCGCTGGCTGGCAAGGCTGGCGGTGGCTGGACGCGTCTCCACGGAGCTGGCAGACTGGGAAGTAACCTCAGGGACAACACTTCCTGCACACTTTTGGCCGACAGTGGCAGAACCCGTAGTTACATGCAAGCACTTGCAACAAGGATGAGAACACTCACCTGTACAGAAGCTCATGCCGGTAGCGTGGGAGGAGAAACAGAGCCCCAGATTTCCAAAGCCGGTATCTGGCATGTTTTGGCAGCCAGAACAGCGATCACGCAAAGTGCACCATCGTGCTGAGGTCAGAGCCTTTCGGCACGACCTCAGCAGTTCTTGCGTTCGCTGCGATTCATGCTGCTCAGTTCCTCTGCCAAACCGTGGTAGAACTTGGACTAAGTGTGACAGCAAGGACCGGGCGCATCGATGGTCTGCATCTTGAACTTGTTCTGAATGTGGATCTTCAGCGCCTGTAGGCTTTGGCAGCGAAGCGATTGGGTCAGTCATGAGCCTTTGGAAAGTGTGGCGACGTGTAGTGCGCCTGCCGCGTGTGCCGGAGGTTGTCCAGCGCCGCCCTTGCATGCAGGGCATTGCAGAGCTCTATCACGGCGCCAAAGTACCCATCACGAGAATCTACCCGGAGGTCCTCGTGGCGTCGATTTTCGCCACCTGTAGGCGGACACTCGGACGATCTCGGACGCTTACAGCAGTCCGAGGCTGCTTCGGCCCTTCGGCTCGCGGATGCGGCGGATGCGGCCTTGGCCAGGTTCTCCTTGCCGGCACAGCGCTTCGCGCTCCGCGCCAGTGATCTTTCCGCCACCGCAATGGTGAAGTCTACCTGCCCAGCTCGAATCTTTGGCAGAGACCAAAGCAGTTCACCGCTTTGCGGATGCAAAACAGCTGCCTCGGAAGCCTGTTCCCGCAGCTGTTTTGATGCCTTCTCGGTGTCCATCAGCCTTGGAATCACACGTTCGTTCCCGGGTGCTCGAATGGAGACTCGATGTTCCAAGCCTTCGCTCAAGAAGCAGCTCGGACCGCTGTTTGGCTTTCCGGCAGCGGTCATCTGTGCCCTGCACAGCCAAGCCACCTCAGCTGCAATCAGGCCAAACAGATGTGGAGCTTTCCCCGAAAACCGCTGGCGCTACAAAATAATTCTGTTCATCTCGGGCCTGGTGCCTAAGCGGCTAGGCTACGCCGGCTACACCTGTACTGACTTGAGGATCATCGAGTCTCCAAGTTCCGGGCAGCGGGTTGCAAGCTCCGCAGCGGCAGCAAGCAACATCTCCGCACGCTGTCCCAACTCTGCATTCCGCGGCTCGGGGACGTCGACATCTGGGCATATCTGGGCATGTTCGTGCTGCTTTCCGCAAGACTGAGCAATCTAGGCCGTTTGCAGCGTGTCATGAGTTATGAGCATCAGAAAAGTCAGGGCATGCGACCAAAAGCCAGTCCGCGCCCCACGACCAGTGCTGGGCCCCTCCAGTGGCCAAATTCCCTGCATCGCTTGCATCCGACTTTTTGCGGCTTTCTGTCCATTTCCCATCCATCTCCGTCCACGCATGTCCGATCCGCTTGTGGAATGCGAGGAACGACTCTTGCAGAAGCGCCGCTGGCCGGAGTGGCGGCCAAATCGATCAGGGACCCGAAGAGAAAAGGATAGAAAAGAAACACAAGGACGAGGTGAGCTTAAGAGAAAGGAGAGAAAGGAGTTAAAGGAGAGGGAGGGGACATCAGGAAGCAGGCCCTATCCGAATCCCTCAAGCAAGGACCGGGTCGGCACTTGCAGTCTAGTATGGAGTATGGAGTGCACAGAAGCGACATGAGCACGCTGGCGAGCATGCGTCCACTGGCCTTCTGCTGGGTCGGCCGAGACTGACAGGAGGATGGCAACCACCGCACGGCAGCGCTCAGAGCTGTGTCGTTGAGATGCACCCTCCTCAACAAGCAGCTCGGACCGAACGACAGGAGGCTGCACGGCACTCCAATGCACTGCAATGCACTGCACGGGAGCGTTTGCCGGCCTTGGAGAGGTCGAGTCTCAGCCTCGTCAAGTCGTCTGCTCCGAAGAAAGCACTTTCACTGCCGTCGAGGACGCGGCTGTCCAATCATCTCCAAGGCCCGCCGGCATTCGCCCTCAAGGTTCAAGAGCTCATTCCTCGCCTCGCCTCGGCTCTTGTTACAGCTCATCCAGCCAGAATCCAGTTACACTGCACGGCTGCAGGAAAGGTGAGTTCCAAAGTCGAAAGACTTATGCACGCCCGCTGCTCTTCCAACGAATTCTGCGCCGCATCGCCGGCCATCTCCTTCAGAACAATCCACGCATTGCAACAGCGATTGGTGACCATGCAGAGCAGCACTTCCTCGGAAGGAGCATCTGACCGCAAGTAGAGACGCTGCTGGCAGACCTGTCCAGCCAAGCCAAAGCATGGGAGCGCGCATTTGATACAAGCTCATAAGCTTGCGCTCGTCTAGTGGGTGGTGCATGCCTAGAAAGTGGGAGCAGGATCGCCCCTGACTCCGGCCTTCAGGTCTGCAAACTGAGCATATCCTTTGCCACACAAGAGAAATCTTGAGGATTGTGTCAATCTAGCAAGAATGAATGCAACCTTCGAGACTGTAGCCAAATGCATGCAAGATTCTAGCATGTTGAAGGCGTCGCAGACATTGGCCGATCTGCCGAAGCATGTCATCAACCTGGACGTTGCACTTCTCGCACATCTTGACCACTTCCATGCCTGTGCGCCGTTTCTCTTGAAGGCACTGCGTCTTGGCGAATGATCAGGCTTTCAGCTGCAACCGATGTTTTTGAAACACATACACACGTTTGGTTGGTTAAGGTCACCACCAAGCCAGCAGCCAGACGTTTGATACTGCGTGCGGTGCATCTATCTTTGTGATCAGCAACTGACACAGGGCACGGCGGGGTTGCAATTCAAGAAAAAGTACCGACTAGTGACTAATACTTGATATAGTTTGCCTCGAACCAACATGTCGCTGAATGTCTCAATTCAGTCCTGCTCCCTTCCGGCATGAACTGAAGCGACCAGATCCCAGAGCCAAAACACGAAATGCCCGAACAGGTCCAGAATAGTAGAATGGAGAATAGAGGCTGCACTCCATCGACTTCGAGTTCTCGACGAGGCGCACGTGTCAGCTCTCACTTTCAGCGCAGCTGCTTGCACCTGCCCACAACAGGCAGAAATCAGGGCGAACAAATCCTGGTGAAGTGCTTCCGTGTGTCGTCCGTGAAGGACAGGATACAGGGTGTATAAGTGCCTTGCCTATGCTGCCGTTCTTCATTATTGCTGTGACAAGCCTGTCTCAAATCTACAGTTGTTGATGCTTTGATGCTTCGCGCGGAGACGGGCGACCGGACCGCCATTGACACCACAAAACGAAACCCTAAACCCTAAACCGTCGCCGGAGGAGCACTGAAATCTCTATGACTTCCCACTCTGTTTGAGTCTTTTCTCGTCGCTTCAAGGCCCGCCTCGCGCTCCGACGCCTCGGCTGCTCGGCCTTTGTCAGCATCGGCGACGATGGCTTTCTCGGCATCGCTGATGCCCTGTAGGACGTGACGCCTTGCCAGTAGGGGAGCGGCTCAAGATTTCTTCGTAAGACGCTCTGCGAATCGGAACAAGATACTTCTCTGCTGCTTCGCTGTCAAGGCGTTACAAGCAGGCTTTGTGCCAAGGCGCGAGAGGAACTTTGCCTTTCGCAGGGCATGATGATGCGCGACCGCGTAGGTTGAAGCTGCCACCATTTGCTGTCGGGGCCGGCAAGGAGAACATTACATCTGATGAGCAAGGCTTTGTTTTTGGCTTGCTCCCACGGCTGAGTTAAGTTTTGCAGTTCCCGTCCTGATTGTCTGACCACTTTGGTGTGATGCCAGTTCTAGGATGTTCTTGCCCAGGCAACTCCTGCTGTTATGATATCATGTCACAGTTTTTTGGGCCATCACAAGAGCCCTGCAATAGCAAGGATCGCGAGAAAGTCCCAGTGAAGTACGATGCCTTCCTGCACAAGGACCAAGGGGAAGAAACCACAGACAGAACTCCTTTTCTTCGCAGCACACCACACGTGTGCCGTCAGGTCCCAATTATCAGGCCATATTAGGCATCTACGTGGGTTTGTTTCAGCTTTCACAACTCAGAGCTTGACCAGCTCCTTTCCGTTTGAGTCATGGAGGAATGACAGCTTCAGGGTGTCACTGCATCTGACTATCCGGCGTTGGCAGATGCAAATCTCGACGCTGCCAAACCAAATGCTACAATGCTGCCGAATTTGCTGTCAGGAGGTCGGCTGCGGCCGTGTAGTTTAGTACGCCTGAGAAACCGCAAGGAGGCCGCACGCCGGCAGCGCCTGGGCGAGCATGCGGATAAAGACAGACACACCTCGTTGTCCTACCGGCCTTCGGAAATGCAGGACGAGCCACGAGCGTCAGCAAAAACAGGAGCGAAAAGGGAAGGCAGGCAAGAATTGCAGGCTACTGCAGCTTGAAGCGTCAAGGGGCGCCCACATCGCGCAAGGATCTCCGGAGTTCCGCTGGGTCCGCAATGTTTTCCACTGAGACATGATTCAAGCACATGATGCTCCTCCGCGGGCTTTCACAGATCAGAGAAGTTTGCAATGCTGTTTTTGGGCTGCTGCATGCACTTTACTACAGCACGGCACCCAGAGTGAGGGTATACGCCGTCTGGTTCTGTGTGTGAATTTGCATCAACCATCACGGTTCTATGCAGGCATCATCGTTCCGGTAGCCCATCAAATTTCAAACTCGCGGGCTCCGAATGTATGCAAATCTATACAGTTCAACCTTGCATGGCTGTACAGTGCCATGTGCCGCAGGAGTGGAGAACCGATGTGAGTGGCCAGCCGATCCTTTAAGTGCCAATGCGGCGTGACTGCAAACGCTTGTGTCATTATTAGGTGGGGAGACGGCGGGAAACAGATTCTGTGCCTCCTGCTAGGTCTTCCACAACTGCAGCCAAACTAGCATGCTGTCACAGCGTGTTTTCGGTGACAGGGCCGCTGTTCCGCCTGCCAAACTGGCTGCGGCTCTTATGTGTATGGCCGGCCAACTCCGATTTGCAGCCTGCGATGACCTGCGTTTTGCAAGGTGTCCAGAGAGTGCTGCGAGAGGCGTTGCCACTTCACACGCTGTCCAGGTCGCGATAGGAGATGACAACGCTGACCTTCAGACGAATTCCGGATTTTCCCATGGGAACCCATCTATCCTCAAAGCCATGGGGGTCAAAAGCTTGGCTCTGCAACGTTAAACGCCCGAGAGCTTTGTCGGCTCCCCAGGGCCAGACTGAATCCCAGAGTTTCACCTCAAGCTCGTCTCCAGGCTCGTACTCCTCCAGCAGCATGGTCTCACCCCAAGCCGGTGATGCCGTGTTCTTCTTGGTGGATGTGCGAGGAGTAACAGCCCACTTCCGGTTCACGGCCTCGACAGTGGCATAGCAGCTTGGCTTCCCTCCCAGCAATGGCCGGGCCGAGCGTTCGGGAAGGCCCTGCGCATAGGCCACCTTCACGTTCACGAAACGAGTAGCCGTTAAGATGCGGCGGATGTACTCTGCAGGAAGGTGGATCATGATGTCAGGGACGAAAGACACCGTCGTGGGCTCGAACATGGACTCTTGTGTTCCTGCGGCGAACCTCTGTGGCCTGTCTGACATCTTCACCACCGCTTCTTTTGTGTGAGCTAATCTGAATGCATAGGTGAGCCACGGCACAGGATCAAAAGACATGTAGTCCTGATTGTAGAAACGGTACCCAGGAAACACTCCATCTGGAGCTTGATAATTCCAGAATTGTGTTTGCGAGACTCCGGGACCTCGGATAGTCAATGAACCTCTTCCGGCTTCCGGCTACTTCTGGTACACTGTACTGACACGTCAATCCGCTCCAGGCACTGCGAGGAACGTGCCGAGTCAAACAGTAGGGCCCGGACCACCGTAGCCGTGCAGATCCGTCACGTTGACGCGAGTCGAAACCGTTTTCCCTTTGTGGACCAGCTTTCCCCAGCGCCAGAGATCCGGCAGAGTCAGGTTGTTGCCCACTCCGTTCATGCAAGCAGCGAACACCGCCTTAGAAACTGCTGAAGACAGTTCTTGTACCGTGGGTGGGACACGGCATAGTAAAAACTGCTGCCGAGGCACTGCCACAGCTGCGCCTTGGGAATGGCCTGTTGCATGAACTTCCGTGCAGTTTTCTGCCAGGTACGGTTCGAATTTCTCACTCCACGCGTCGTTGAGCATGAACTGCAAGAAATTCTCGAAGAATCCCTCATGCACTCCATAGATTCCACACTGTGGCAGACTCGAAGTTCGTAGATTGAAGTTTGTGGACCAATCTGCTAGCCCGTGTGTCCCGGAGAAGGTCACAGCACAGACACTGCCCTTGGCCATCAGAACGACCACGTCGTGACCGTCAACCATAAGGGACTGTGTTGTGTTGACGTACTCAGCCACGACTTTCCATCCGCCGGCCCAACCCTCTGGGTATGCTCCTTTGAAATACTCGATGTCATATGCCCAGGAAGCTATACCACCCATCACCAGCTGCAGAGGCGAAGAGTTCGTGATGATGTTCAGATACGGTCGGGCTGGGATGTACGCGAGCTCAGTAGCAATTTGCTTGGATGCCATGTCAATGTACTCAGCGATGAAATGAATGCTTGGCATCGGGATGGGATCCTGGTCGGGGTCCGGCTCTCGCTCTCTCGTGGCAGGACCCCTCAATGCCTTGCTCGTCAGTGTCTGCTTCGACTCTGCTGCAACGGCAAAACCCACCCCGTTTGCATGAGCTGAATCATCGGAGTTGTGTGTGTCTGCTCCACTCCCGGATGCAGTCACTCCGAAGCATGCCAGAAAGAGCACCGCAGAACGAAGCACCCATGCCATGGCAACAGACGGGTCGCTTCGTCCAGTTCAAGAGTCTCAGCCAAGCTGCAACTGAGCGGAGCAATGAATCAGGTCAGTTGTTGCTGCGTTGCCATGTCGGCGAAACTCATCTGTAGCAGAGCTTCGAAGCCACATGGGAAGACTTTTTCGACTACGGCGAGCACTCGCTGGTGCACCCTGTACGGGCTCAAGAGATTAAAAGGTGGCAAAATGTAAGCGGAACGGGGTGGCGTCAGCGCATGAACTCTTCGAGACCCAGCTGCCTGCCGAAGCCTTTCACGACCTGGGAATTCGAAACGCCATCTGCGGCTCACATCGTGTCATGCAAGCAGCAGCCTGCATTCGAACAGACTTCTGAGGCACGAACCGGCCAGTAGTACCGGCAAAGGACCCAAGACCTGGTAATGCACAGGCACTCCGCCGAGCAAGTTGCAGGACTTGCCAGCTGAGGCCGGCACGCAGCCAGGGAGCAAACGGCAACCCTTACACCTAAGTTCAATCGTGCGGGAGGACCCCCCTTTGTCGCTGGTCCGAGGCTGGAGGTCCTCCCGACGTTGGGATCCAGAGCCCACAGGAAATACCGGAGGTCCCCGTTCCGCCAGACCCAGAACCCATTATACTCGTTACTCACCTTTCCCATGCTGAGGGAGGCGCAGTGGTCCAGGAACAGAACGAGTTCACGCAAAGTCTCCCTCAACATCACAAGGCTAAAGTCACGATGACAGTCTCTGCCATGCTGCATCCGGGTTATAGACCAACAATCCACATTGCATGCATTTTGCAGCACGTGACAAATGTGGCCTTTTCTTCTGGTTCATCTTGATGCACTCCTCGTACCTGCCGGGCTCTGAACTCACTCCTGGACTCGTCGAGACAGACTCATAGATTTCTGAACCGGGGCGGCTACAAGGTGTCATAGTCGGTGCAACTTGCATATGCAGTTCTGTGCGACTCAACCGCAAAAGGGAGCACTGCTCGAGAAGATTCTCCGCAGCATCTTTCCAGGTCATCCGAACTGGAACGAACAGACTGATGACAGTTCCCGGCAGCAAGGTGACGAGCGAATACGGTAGACCCTATCGGCAATCGGCAGTCAAGCACATGACCGCCCAGCACACGGACGCCTGGATGTTCCTGAAGATACTTTCCTAGGTCCACGAGCTTTCGCTTGCCAGAAAAAGTGAAAGCTGCTCTCCCTCTAAAGCCGCTCAGCCTCTGCGAGTCTAGACGGTCGCAGTCAAGCTTCGGCCAGTGGCTTGAGCACGTGCCATAGCTGCGGCGAATTCCTCGGTGGATTCGATGTTGTAGTGCCACTCCTGCAAGACATGTAGGCCGTAAGCCAGCACTTGAAGCTGACAGCCTTAGACAACCGGAATACCTGTAGCTCTCTGGGTCTACACGTACCGGGTTTGTCGGAGTTTGGCTGAGCCACACCGGAACAGGGCAGAAGGCACACGTGTCGGACTGATCTCCTTGGGCGTCAGCGGCTTATCCTTGTCCAGCCAGATCTCATCGAAGACTGAACAAAACGGCATCACGGCGGGACATCCGCACATCATCGCCTGCAGAATGACTTCATAAGCTTCAGAAGCAGACACTTCGTCCACGTGCATCAAGCTGTCTGTCGGAGCCTCCAGGCATGTCAAGCCGAAGGTCTCTGAGAGGCTCATCGTCACGAAGCAGTCCGCACATCTGTACAACTGCGGCAGCTCCTCGCGGCCAAGCAGTACGTTCCTCATTCGAACTTGCACTTCCCCAAGATGATGCCACTCCCGCGCTCTGGCAAGCCTGGTGCGGTACATTTCCAAGGAAGACCTTGCAGTTACGAGATGCTCGAGATTCTGGTGGGGCCGTGCCGAGAAAGCGAATCGAAAGCAGCGGGACGTTCAGCAACTCTGTCAATCAGGGTCGTGTTCAAGCTCCATGTGTGTTCCCGATCCCGAATTTGCTACGATGCGCTGCCGTAATGAGGTCCGATGTTCGAGGGCTGGGCCACGCGCAAGCGGAGCCTGGTGGCCTCCTGCACCAAGAAGTCCTGGTATAAAATCTTGTGCATGCCCTTCACTAAAATTTCCAACCTCGGCGTGACTTCAAACACCTCCCCTCACCCTTGAAATGTCCTTGGACGGTCCGTCTCCTGCTATCGCCAAGACGCCCTTGACACCTTGACCGCCCTCCTGGTCGAAAACTCTGCTCGACTCCACTCAGCTTGACCTCTGAAACTCAGGTGCAGCTCAGATCCTCCTTGGGCACCAGGGCCTGAAAGACGCGCTCGGTGCCCTGAACGGGAAGATGTCTGAATTTGGAACATGCACGACTCGGCACAAGTCGCTGGTGCCTTCTCTGCAGAAAGGCGCTGCACCATGAGGAGGACCTTGCGACGGGGTTCAGCAACGCCTGGTCGGCCCCTCATGTCAACCTCGTTCGGCATCGTCTCCCTTCGGGTGCTCTGAGTCTGGAGGCTTCTGGCTCGGGCTATCGGTGCAGTGCATAACACAGCAGTTTTCCTTTCGGAGCGTGATCTGATGAATCGATCCTGCAGCTGCCTTGTCACTAGTGAAGACAGGATCCCATCAGCAGCATATCTGCTGAGCTGGAGCTGCACACCAAGTTCGCCACCAAGACCGTGATGAGTTCAGGAAGGTTCTGCTCCAAAAAGTTGATGTCATGCTGACGCCTCGAACGCCCTTCAAGCCGCCCAAATCTGACCATCCAAACCCTGACTTGCTTTCTGATTTGGAGCAGAAAGCCATGGGTCCTATGACACCACCGCCCAGCCCCAGGCATTTACATGCTGTCAGCAGAACTTGCAGTTGCTGATGATTGCCGCAAAATGCCTCTCATCGGGGAACCGCGCCAGATAGCTCTTGGTCGCAGGGCCATCCACCTGATAGGTTTTTCGTCGACACTCGTTTGAAAGGTCCTCTTTCTTCGTGGTTTGGTAGAATTCGGTTCTATCTGCTCTAGCGGAGGTAGCTGATGCAGTTGCAGCACACCCAAGCGCATCAATCCAGAGCAATCACATTGTCGACAACTCCGCACGCACACATGCTCGGGGTGACGACCATCTTGCAGGAGAAGCACGGATTAGTAACTAGTGCGGCAGGGTCTCGAAAAGATATGCAGATGCTTGAAGCGATGATCCGCTTGTTGGTGCACCTATGCCGGCAGCACCCGGAAACAGGAGGTTCGTCTTCTGCTGCACGCAGATTCCAGCACTGTTGCGACATTGTGGATGCTCTTCGTAGACATGAAGGAAGCTGCTGGATTTTCCAATGGAGGAGTTCCACGTCCGAGATCTTTGCCATGATCCTCTTGTCGTTGTCAGCTTGAGACAAAGCCATGCATTGCAGCACGTTCAATAGCGAGAGCCAGTCTCAGTGTCGATCTACAGCATCTTGCGACGAAATCTTCGAGATTCCATGGGCAGCCCGCTGCCCTCCAGTATCACTGCAACACAACATGCCCAGTAAAGCATGTCGAAAGATTCGTTCTTTCTGCTCCCCATTCGTGTCAACGAGCGTTTCGGGGCTTTCGACTCAGTGAAGCAATGATCGGTGCGAAAGCTCGAGGAAAAAGTGGGCTAAGTCGTCCTTGCGGCTTAGTTTTTCTGCGCGGTCTGGTCTTCGCCGCTGCACGATTAGAGGAGCTACAGCATTTCCAGTACTAAAAGTTGTACTACCAAGCACAATCCAGCCAGGACGCCAAACGAGGCATTTCCAGTACTAAAGTTTACTACTACCAAGCACAATCCAGCCAGGACGCCAAACGAGGCATTTCCAGTACTAAAGTTTGGTACTAAAGGGACTTTGGCAAGGAACCCGTATCGCCAACTACACCGCGGAATGTTACGACCTAGCGTTTTCGCTTGCCCGAAGGTCTGCCCTGATCTGCTGACATGCGTTACGACTTCGGTAGTTCCCTGTATGCTCTCTTCTGCTCTTCCAAGCACCTGCCACAGGTAGAGTCTCATCCTTTTTCACAACTACTCGAAGTAGTCGTTGCTGCCTCCCTTCCAAGCCTTGTGTCGCCCGGAGAGAAGATCCGACGAGCTCGTCCGCTTCTGCGAACAACTTGTCCGCTTGGGCGGGGGCCTCGAACCCTCAGCCTCCTGCAACAGTTCCAGGTCGCATCGGCGTCTCACAATCATGTCAGTAGCATTCACACGCCCTTCCAAGGATTTTCTGTCACTCTCGAGGAGGGCAGCATCGCATATCCCATGCATATGCTCAGGCGAAACACCGCATTCAAAAGATGCAGCAACAGTTTTAGCTGTCCTGCGTAACCCTGCGAACTCGGCGAAGTCGGTGGTGTTTAAACCAACCGACACAGACTTGCACCGGGCGGGTTCCAGCGCACGGCTTCGGGCAATCACCACAGCATCCTGCCGATAGCATTCATTGGATCTAGTCAATCTAGTCAATGATCGACAAAACTGTGAATGCTCTTCCTCAAGAGCAGACCCGTCTCTTGAGCGAAATTGGCCGCGGCTGACCGAACTTCAGGGTTACGATGATGCGCACATAGGACTGGCTGTCTTGGCTCCACAGTGGCAAGGCCTTCTCCTCCTCGTTGTCGACACCAAACTTGGCCAATCGGACATCCCTTCGTTCCTCGGATTTGAGTCGTTTCAAGAGATCACATGAGTGTCGTACCTTCTGGCAAAGCACTTGGGGAAGAGAGTGGCACAGAGTGACATGCGGGTATGCACGAGCTGCATCAGGCTACAAATACGACCGGCGCAATCCTGCTCAACTCATGCGCGAGCAACAAACACCCAGCATCCGACAGTTCATTGGATTGGAAGAGGGGGGATCCCAATATATCCCAATCAAGCCGGCTGTCCGTGCTCGACGCAGGAGTCGGAGTGAAGGTGCTGTGTGTTCCTCGGAAGTCGAAGGCAGGGCCACAGCTCAACTTCAAGACACCGCCCAGCTCCATCCTGTGGGCCTCGCCGGATGGGACTCGCCTAAGTTTGGCCTCGTGCTCCTCCAAGTCGGGTCGAGTGCAACTGTCGATGATAGCGAAGAAAGGCCCGTGCTGGTACTGTCTAAGCCGAAGCCAGTTAGCGTGCACCGTAAACGGCACTGTGAGGTCGGCTGCGGTATTCATGGCAAGCACAAGACATGGAAATTGTCTCCTTGCCGAGGTGGTCCCGTGCGAAACAGAGAGTAGGTGCGGAGTTGAGCGTGCCCCACTTGATGGCCGGCCACAATCCAAGCATGTCGTACCTGGGTCGCATCTGTCAGCTAGGCAGCAAGAGCAGCAGCCTGAACCATCACAGTGCCCAGTTGAGGTGCACACATCCTCAAGCCAAACTCAGCCACAGGCCTCTCAGCAGCAGCCGAGTCTTCCGTGAGATTTGGTTCTCCCCTCAACCCTCCCGCCGCCGTTTGACCAGATTTGCCCACAGTGGCACTCGGTGCAGTGCAATGCCTGATTGGCACCAGTTTGTAGGCAAACATGTTCATCTCCACGTGGTGCGAGCAATAGACCTTGCAGTGTCCCTTGAGTCCGCAAGTCCAGCGTACCCAAAACTCCAGACTTCAAGCTCTGAGCCCGTGGCGGGGATGCGCCGCCAAGCACATGTGGACAAGACAAAGGTGCCAATCAGGGACGGGTAGACCAAGTGAACCTCGCATCGCCAGGAGGTGGAAGCCCTCATCCAGCATGTCAGGTTCCTTCACGTTATTTGTTTAAGCCCAGGACTACGTCCCAGGTATGAGCACCCAGAAACCAAGCAAGTTTTACCTCACAGGTCATGGCATAGCGTTCGTATTCCGGTCTATTTGGCTGCGACGCTGTGAGCTCCTGGCTCCCGGGGTGTATCCTATCCTGTTCTTCATGTTGAAAGGGTTGACGACCTGGCTTCCGGCCGGCTTCCACTGCTTTCTCCAAACATGCTTCCTGCAAACGAATCTGGGCGGCACGGCGCTGATGCAAAACAAGCCGGGAGCACCGCCGGGATGTTGGGATGGTCGAAGGACGTTTCCTTGTTGGCCTCGTAGGCCGTGCTGAAGACGATCACCTGAAGCTGCTTCGAAGCCACTCGAAGCCGCAGCGAACTCGGACCATCTCTCTGGGCTCGGACCTCGTGGCCCTTGGCCCGCATCTCTTTGATGTAGGCGTGGCAGCGGATTGCGATGCCTTCACTGCAACGATTTGCCATGGCGCATCATGGCGCCAGCTTTGCAGACTCTGGGACCATCTGGGACTGTTGCCGTGTGTCTGGGGCGGAAGGTAATCCGTGATCACCAGGATTCTGCGGTTGGCTACTGGGCGGCCTCCGGGGCGACACGGCAGACGCAGCACGCTTCTCCCCCATCCCGCCCCTGTTGCCCCTGCCTGTTGCCACGCCGGTGAGGCGCGCGATGAGCCGAAGAAGCTGGGCCTGGAGCTGGCAGAGCTAAGTGCAAAAGTCTCTTCCTCTCCGGGTGTCTGGCGCTGAGTGCTCGGCCAGAAAGAAGACCGCATAACTTAGGCAGAGGCGCGGAAAGTAAACCACCTGCCAAAGCACTGCTGCGGGCTCTGGAGCAGTGCTCAGACCAGTAGACGTTGCATCTGCATCTGCATCTGCCCCGCCAAGGTGAAGAACAGCAGGACCAGGTAATGGGTTCGCACGGCAGCAATCCAACACCTGGTGGTGCGATGTAGGCTCGCCAGACTTCGGGTGGGCCAGTTTTACATGAGAGCCATTTCAAGCTGGCTCCAAGGCCAACATCTACGCTGACTATGCAAAGTAAAAGAAGCGGGTACTCTCTGTTGAGATATCATTGATATCATTTATGTGACTGAGTGGATGAGTGACCAACGCATGGTAACTGAACCGTTGTTGCGGCTCCGACGAAGTCATCTCCTTGCCATTGACTCTGTTCAGTGTGTAGTCGTATTTAACTGCGTCGTCGTGGTCTTTGCTGAGTGCCTTGCTCTTCGCTGTTCGACACAACACATCCGGTTTTACTGAATCGACATGAGATTGGCAGCATAGTAACGCATCATGCGAGCTACACCCAGGAGCTGAGGTCGGGGCGACAGCTGCCGACCGAGCCCATTTTCGCTCGCCATAACGATGGAAACAGAAGCTAAGTTGCCTGTTCCAAGTGAACGAAGCAGTGGTCGCAAGAGGCTGTCGGAAGGCGCTGAAGGGGCGGGTCTCCAGCAGCTGGCTTTGTCTGTCGGATGCTGTTTGGTAGGGAAACTGTTGCATGGCTACGGCTCAAGATGCTCCACCCTTGACCACAGAAGGAAAAAGCAAGCATAGCGTCTTGGAGACCACGTGCTGCAGCGGCAAATCGGCTGAATCTATTCGTCACTCTTTACCCGCAAGCGAAGCAATCCTTCCTTCGCAGCTCGAGCCTAATTAAACTCCGGCAGCCGCGGTAGGGGAACGGACCTCTTCCTGTTGTTCCTCCTGGGCCAATGAAGTCGAACAGAGTCGGCAAGGCAAGTCCGAAGGTCTGCATGCGTGAAGAGTGTTACGAACGACAAAGCCGGTTGCGATCCACGCGCTTGCGCGGTTGCACATCATCGCGCATCTTTGTCAGCCATCCGATTTTGTTTTGAGTGTGTATATGTGCGCACAGGACTCGACGGCCTACTTCCACTGTAGCCGGTCATCGTGTGGCATCTGCAGCACCAGGCACAGCGATTGCTCATGTCCAGCGCAGCGGGTCTCTCCTCAGCTTTCGGCGGCGAGGCACCAACATCACTTCCGGGCGGGGCTCACCTCAGCTCGGAGGTGAGAGCTTGATCTTAGCTTTGGCTTCACCTGCTGAGTGCACTGGGAACCAGGCGGTCCAGGAGCTCCTGAAGGCTGCAGCCCTCAGAGAGCATCTCCCGCGCATGTTCGAACTCCTCCTGACCACAGCTACGACGCTTACGACGCTACGAGCAGCCTGCCGCCATCTGCAGCGCATCGTACATGACATGTTTTAAGCGCCTTAAGCTGCGCGAGACGCTCTCTCAGCATGACGATGTTCAGGTCGCGGAACTCGATAGGATCCTGGACCAACGCGTCAAGTTGCGGAATTGATTTCTTCGTTGCGCCAAGCTCCACGGGTGCTTCGGGTTTTTACGGGTACGTGAAGGACTGAGAATGCAGAACCTGCGCTGCGTGTGCTGATTGCTTCATGTGCAAGCACAGGAGCCCTGTGAATTCAAAGCCCAGGACGAGAACTTTCGCACTGCCAGGCCTCCACATGTATGCACGGCTCCGGTTGACCCTTGCCGAAGAGAAGGAACCTCTGTGAAGGCAAGTGCCCAGGACCGGGGTTTCCGAGCCGGAACCGAAAACCGAAGACTGAGCGATGCAGACAGCACGACCACCGAAGAGTTGAAGAGCTCTCCAGCTAGATGGCACGCGCGACCAGATGGCACGCGGGACCGCACGTAGCTGTGCTGGGCTTCCTGCCATGGACCTCTGTCCTTGCGGTCGGGCTTCTGAACAGAAACCACCTGCGGAGAACAAGTAGCAAGACGATGCCCATACCTCATAAACCCACACACCTACGGAACAGCACCGCAATCACTGTAGTGACAAAATGGCAGAGTTGCAGATAGGTGCAGCTGCATGCGAAAGAAGCACCCACCAAACACAACCGGACAGCGCATTCGCCTCAGAGCCCCAGTTGTACCTGCCAGCTTGCTTGAAATATCTGTTGGACGAGCCTCCAAATCCACCTGCTATGCTCATACGTTGAAATTTCCAGGCAGATTGTTGGTTGCATCCGTTTCACGATGTGGTGGGACGACTTCTGATTCTGGCGCACTCTTTGGAGTAGAAGTGTATGAACCCGTAGAAAAGCTCGGCCTCAGGGTAGCGACAGTCAAAGGACAGGCTGCCATGTGCTAGAACGACGATGGAGAGAAACTCCAGTGGTTACGGGCACCTTTGAGGTAGCCTGTATGGCATATGCTGGGGCTGTACTGCACCCGACTGTGTTACACTCGGCTTGCATTATAGGGTTCACCAAAAAGTAGCCTGAACCTGCTCGTTTGCACCTACTTGACTATACGAGCATAACAGACAATCTTAGGCACAACATCCAGTCATTGAAGCACGCACAATGCACATGCCCAGTGAATGCGCTCTTCACAACGCTATCTCGAGGCGGTTTCAGATTTCTCGCATCATCTCTGAGATATGGGCCAAAGATAGGCCGGCCTCTTGGAAAGCAGAACTGCTGCCGAAACGAGAGATAACCAGACACACTCCCCACAACGTAACTACAGTACTGCATCGCAAACTCATGCACGTTCCCTGCCTCTGACTTTATAGCTGTGAGGAACTACCGCACGACGCTCAGTGCAACAACACGTTGCGAAAGATTTCTCGAATAGACAGTGTACTTCGGCCGTCTAAGCTGTCCGGCTGAAGGACATCAACCCTGGCTTCGGTGTCGATGCTTGCAAACCACACCGCATCACCATTGTCCGGTGGAATGCTGCTTGGAGAAAACGCACTTCCCGAACTGCAAATATTGTCTCTGGCCTCTCCAGTGGGCGCAGCTATCTTTCCGTCTGCGACGTCTTTCTGGTATTCCTGCCAAGTGCTGTCAGGACAGAGCAGAGCTCTAGACTCTAGACACTCTAGACAAGTTCCGCCTCAGCGGTGAGAAAGCCAACCTGGAATGATCTCTCGTTGCCCCAGTAGTCCCTCGTCTCCAGCATCCTGTCACAGGCATCGCGCCTGGTGCTCATGCGGAGGAGTGAAATCAGGTGCCTTTCTTCTTTGGAGAGCAGCTGGAGAGATGGGAGCAGCCCCACCAGTTGTAGGAAGTACAAGACCTTTGTCAGACGACATGAACCGTGGCAGCGCGTCCTGCGCCAACAGTTGCAAACAGACATTGCCCAATTCTGGGTGTCCTGCCATGATCGTCCAAGAGTACGAGGACAGGTTGCCCCCTTGTGCGCCACACACCTTTTTGCCCTTAGCCCAGACCTCCAAGTTTCTCAAGAAACTGAAGACAAATCAGGACCATCGCTGGGCAAGATGCTGGCCTTGACCAACAAGACCAGGGGTCGCACCCGCCTGTCGCAGCTCGGCTGTCTAAGAGTCTAGCCGGATGCGCAAAACTCGCCAACTATGCAACCGCTTAAACGAGTGGCGGATCCAGCTCCGAGTACGCCCGTAGCAGCTGTGAGTTGTACAGCGGAAGGCCTGAGGCGAAGATCCGACAGGAATTACCAGATCATGCAGTCCGAACGGGCTCTGGCTGTTGTTTATGGAAACATCTACCTCCGTCAGGGTGCTCTGCCTGCGAGGTCAATCTGATCATGAAGACAAGCTTTCAGCTCTGTTCAATGCACGAGTTGCCACCATTCGAACATCACACCCTGGCGCACGTGTCTTCCAACGTGACCAGAGGCTTTCGAGCTCGAGGGATAAGTTGGCTTACCTGTTTTGTACAGCGCCTATTTCGACTGTGACTGCATGGTCAGTCTCTTTCTCCGCAAGCCCCGTCAACAAAATGGCAGGTCCGCTTTGAAGCCCAGTTCTGGCAAGAATTCCGCCAGCTGTTGAACGGCATGCGTCATCGCCTGTCACCAATAGGTATCTAGTGGCCGCGCCAAAACGCTCAGGGAACGCTACACGGCCACTGTACCAGCAGGTCCACGCCGCATGCAGCTTTCCTCAGCTCCGCACGATTTTGGGCGTCACCGCCTTTAGCAGCAAGGACCTAAGCATGGCCCCCGACGTTGAGGTGTTGTTATGCTACCTTCATCTGTGGCCAGAATATGCCTGCACAGCTTCCTTTGGACAAGTCCTCCAGACTTACCCTGAAGAATCGGAGGAATCCGACGTTGACACAGGATCCCATCAGGGTGGGCTAGCTTTCATTCAGCAAGCGATTCAAGATTCTGTCGAACACCTGCTCTCCTTGCCCTCCGTCTACCGGGTGCCCGTGCGGCTGGACAAAGTCAGACAGCGCGCCTTCAGAAAGCAGAGGGCTGCCCAGCCTTGCGGCGGGTGTGCTGCAGCGGTGTGCTCATATCCAGGCAAGCGCGACTGTCAGTGCGTTGCACGTCTCCCAGCAGTCTGTGTGCAAGCTCAACGACACGAAAGCACCGCCGCCTTTCGCACCGACTCTGGAAGCTGGCATAGCTCATGTAGTAGGTGAGCTCCTTTCTGAAGCAGAGGCCGCGCACAGACCGGACAAAAAAAACAAGCACAAGGCAGGACACTGACATAACGGTCCTCTTCATCAATGGCCACAAGCACATCTAGGTCAGAAGATTCCTGCACATGACGCAACACTCAAAAAGCGCCAGCGGCCAGCGTTGAGAAAGCATGGTGTTCAGTCCCAGATTCAATTGGGAGGAGCCTCCTCAGGACTGTTCTGAAACGAAAAAGAAGATCCAATGCTCAAGCCCCGCAGACGACTGCACAGCCGACTGGCAATAAAGAAGCGTCACCACACTTCGTCGGACCCAGCAGACCTCGCCGAATCCGTTTACCGTTGAGCCGAAGGGATGCGCTGTGGCTGTTGGCGCCTCAGGACTTGACAAGTTCTCCGCCAACTCTCACATGCAAAAGGCACTTGCCTGCGGCGCACTGCGGTCTGGGGCTGGGGTCCCGACGACACATTGTTGTGCACCTGACTGGATGCGCATCACGACATCCTGCACCACCTCGTTGGCCTGAGAAGTTTGGGCAGCGGCAGCGGTTGCTTCATGCAGATTCGTAGACCTGAGGCCCGTATCCTGTTGAGGAACACTGCCGAACTTGTCTTCAATGTCCTTCGCCAAGTCTTGATGTAGCTGGACCTGGTCCCAGGCACCCGAGGTCAGCAGAAATGCAATGCGGACTCGGATTCCACTCCCGGTCAGTGCCTCGGGGTTTTGCAGCCATGTTTCGAGCGGAAGGCGCGGGACGCCAGTTGCGATAGCCTGCATGCAAGCTGTGGCTATACTATACTCTCTCTAATGCTTTCCGATGCTGTCGCCGCGAGGTCGGAGATTTACTTTGTTTTTAGGGTGCTCGCATACGCCACATACCCTGCCGCCTCTTCGTCCGCTTCGTCTGACTCGGCATTGTCTGACGGACTGCATCTTGCAGCGCAGCGCGAATGCCTGCTAAACGGCCCGTGCAGTAGGCCCGCCCAAGCCGGAACAGAATTGAGGGCACCTCCGCTTCTGACGACGAGAACGAAGCGCAGTCCTCTCAAGTGCATCCGGGTTTCACAGGCACACGATAGGATGCGAGCGAACGCTGCGAACCGGAGTGGCCCTTTCGTGAGCAGCCGTGAGCAGGAACTTGCATGTGATGCCTTCTTTCCTGATGCAGATTCATTGCAGTCACTGCACAGCCTCCACATAGCCACTGCCGCAGGGACCAGGCTGCGGCCTAGCATGCAGAGTAGCGAAACACAACGAAGGAACATGTCATGTCTCTCGCCTTCAGCCCACGTTGGGACCTGGCCTATTGATTTTCTAGGACTAGCTGATACCCGCATGGGCACGCCTTGCGCCAATGGGCGGTGGCTGCGGCCAGGCCGCCCATCGCCGGCCCTGCAGTTCACGTTCACAAAAGCCCGAATCTCCGGGCAGGAGAGCAGCCTGCGTTGGAGGAGAGCCCTCGGCTTTGTCGGATGTGCCAGACGCGGCCTCGTGTGGAAATCTTCTCAAACTGTCGCAGCTCGACCCACGTGCAAGGGTGCGGGGGGCGGGGGTGGAGGGGGCGGCTGCCCGGCGACCCGCCGCAAGCCTTGTGGTCGACTCGTCGCACAGAAGCTGGTGCGGTAGGGTTGGAGACAGCGCCATCTCCACCGATCATGAGGATCTCATGTGACTTTCTTTCATGTTCCTGTCAAGGCTGCAGTCCTACAGCCGCAAGGGATGCTAAGATCTCACGACGTCAATGACAAGGCGGAAAATCATCCTTCCCCATGTCTCAGTCTCGCTCTCCGTCCCATTCAAGTGTTTCAAGTGATGTCTAAGTTTTCAACAAGTTCAGATTCGCCCAGATGTGGGCGTCTTGGATCTTGTTGTGCGGAGTTGTGGCAATGATCATGCATCTCGGAGCTGAAGAGCATGAGGTTGGCACGGAAGAGGTAGGGTCAAGCCTGCTGCTCAGAGTTAGAGTTATGGTCATGATGAGTCCTGTCTGGGAACTGTAGACACTGCAGGTGCACTCTTTGTATCCCTTTGCAAGTTAGCGCGATTGCGCCACATGCCGTTTGTGGACAGCGCTGGCTTGAGTGCAGCATGATTCTAATCACGCTGACTACTGAGCGTCACATTATCAGCATGCGAGACGAGCGTCGCAAGATAAGCTTTCAAGGTCAGCTCGTTCGCACGGGGCGATCATTGTCATCACCACATCCGTCTGCAAAGATAAAGCTCTTTAGCTCGAGAAGCTGGTGGGCCCGTGGAACTTAGCGCATGCACTGCAGTGATGCGCTCAAGTCACACCGGCCTCGGCCTAGCCTACCCTGGCATCAAAAAATGGTGATCAGAGTGAAGAATGTGTACACCTTAGCTGCGACCCCAGCGACATCCCCGGCGTGTGGGGAGCACTGAGATGGAGCTCTGGGTGGTTGCGAACTGAGAGCCATGCCAAACCAACAGGATAAGCGACCAGCCACCTGGCTGGGGTGCATTTCTCGGCTACCAACACGCAAGCCGACTTGCCAAAGTTTCAAGGTCCAGCCTCTGGTCCTGCATATGTATCGCAATCGCGAAGAATCTCGAGGACGACGCAGTTGCCCATGCTGGCAGACATGTACTACGATGAGGACAAACCCTCCTGCCCACAGCGCAACTCTTCGCTTTCTGTCGGGGTGTTGTATCAGTCACCGATCCACCCTGGATCTTTTGTTCCTTGAACCCCGTGGCAGACCCCCGTTGCAAACGCTGCCCCCTGCGATCCCCGGAGCGGCTCCTTTAAATCGACTTCTAGTCTCTTGGCCTGTCGGTCCTTTTAGGCTTCCTAGGTCCCTGGCCGAAAGCTACTGATTCAGATCACCGGCAAGTAGCGTGCAACTGAACCAGCCAAGAGGAAGGAGCTCTTGAAACGCAGCATCCGCAGCCCTATGCCAGGCCTATGCAAACTGCGGCCATGATGGAACCAAAGGTGGACCTTAGACATTTGACATCTCTTTGTCGAGAAGGACGGCCTGACACTACTTGGGCCGGTGCTTCAGGGAAACCAGAATTCCAAAGAGCGCGAGGAAAACAATCGGTATCAGCCTTGGCTGCGCTCGACTGAAGAACCTCTGCACGCGGCGAGACTGGCTCAAGAGTATCCAGACGGGCCACCCATAGCCAAGGATGCTAATTGTTCTGTAAAGGTCGATGCCTGCAGCAGTCGCTTGGCACAGATGGAGCAGCTGCCACTTCCATGATGGCAATGTCAGGAACTCCGTGTTATGAGGCTGGATCTCCAACACGAGGTCAAAACACAAAACGACTGCATCTCCAACGAAATCAACTTCCACTATGTGTCTCCCGCGCCTGACCCTGTGGAACGGAAAGTACTTACGCGCCTTGTTCCACAAATTCTGAAGCAAACCGGAACCTGCACGAAGGAAGCAGCAATCTGGCCTTCCTTCTGGCTCATCACATTTATAAGGCAGCAAATGCCGAAGGAGCCACCAGCAATCAAACCGTAGACATACCTGTTGCGAAGATCGGCTGTGTCATGCCGTGGAAACGCAAATGCGGGTTAAGCTGTAGAGTTCTTGCATGGCAGAGAAACTCGGAAGCACACCCGAACTGAAGCTTGCCCACAAGCAGGAGTGCCATGCCTCAGAGCCGCCGCTCTCTTCTCTACGGCAGTCACGCAGTCCTCTTTTCGTCTCGCGACAACAGCTTTGCATCTCCTTGCCATCGTCTCAGCCGTCGGCCCAATGTTAGGCAAATGAGCAATGGTCCGCTCAGATCTGCATCTTTGAGAATCTCCTCACAATTGGACGCTCGACTGACCACCAAGTTACAGTCGCTCACCGTCAGCCCAAGTATAGGCCTTGGAAGTGCTTCGAAACTCAAGCGGGCACCTGCCTCGTCCAGCTTCTTGAAGAACGCGACCCCTTGCATTCTAAGGAGGATATGCTCAACGTTGATGCCGAGCTCCTCCAGCTTTGCTTCGGACAGGAATCGGAAGGAATTGTGTCTGTGATGCGGACTGCATAGGCGGCCTCGAGGAGAGGCGGTTCGTTTTCGATGTCGTCGTCGTAGCTATTTACGGCTGGTGGCCTCAGGCATGTTTAGGGTCTGGCCCAGCGTTCTTCCAATGCCTGCAATATCAAGGATTCATGTTTTCAGATGACACACGCTCTCGCTGCTGGCTGCCAAGCTGCGGAAAGTTTCCAGGTGCCATCTGGCCCCCTATCTGTCCTCCTATCTGGCCAGCCATCTGCCCCGGACCCATCTGGCCCGGCCCCGGACCCATCGCACCAGGGCCCATTGGGCCGGGGCCCATCTGGCCGGGGCCCATCTGGCCACTCATCTCTCCCATCTGCCCACCAACAGGTGCTCGCACAGCCTGGCCTGTGCACAAGCAGTCGCAGCGAGCTGTGAAGTGGGCAAACTCGGTGCCTGGAGCAGGCCCCGGCTGCGGGGGAGCGCCAATGCCAGGCCCCTGCCAATGGAGTTCGTCTCCGGGGCGCCGAATCGTTTGTGTTGAGAACTCCCCTGGCCCTGGCCTGAGGTTGCGCCGCGCCTGCGGAAAGGCTTAAGGCACACGGCAAGATCTCTGCCCTCCCTGTCCCTGCATCCCGAAACTTCCCTGCTGTCAACCTACACAGTCAACATGCGTTCAAGGCTTCATCCTTGGCTTGGAGCCTCCCCAACACTTCCAGCAGCTGTGCGTTGCACGGTAAGCTCTTGCTTCAGTGCAGTCCAGCCTGGCGTAAAGAACTGCAAACCAGCCCCAGCCGCTGGCGCCTGCGGTGGGCAGGCGACACCCTCTCTCGCACTCAGGCACCCTCCGGCGAAATGCCAAGACGGCCTGGCAATGCCTGGCATCTTTTGCTGCCCAACAACCCTCGAGGTTCGGGTTCGACGAGGTATTGCACATGAAGCCCCTTCAGGGCTGTAAGTTCATTAAAAATATGGAACGCACGTACAACACACATTAACGGCAACGTCCAGGATGGTGGAAAACAGATAGTGCTCTGCATCCTGGCCATGAGTCCGACGAAACCAACGCGAAGCGGAATTGCCGCCACTACCAGTTGCTCCAGAAGACAGTTTGGACAACTGCTTGAGGCTGCTTCTGTCACTCCGGCGGTATTTCCTGGGCATGCGCAAGTCACGGGGCCTGCTTCGATGTTCACTGGCTAGGAGTCCGGCTATGCCGAGTTTGGCGAAGTCCTCCGGAAACATCAAGAACTCCTGAAACGAAGAGCCAACGGTGCCACACACACGGGAGAACGGATGATTGGTAGTTCGTGGCCTCGCGTGTGGGTCGAAGAAGGAAGGAGGCAGCCTGAAGTGGACGGCTTCGTGGCTGCGCGAGCACAGCACGGTGTCGCTAGAACCCGGCTGTCGCAGGACACGCCTCGTCGGCGACCGTCTTCTTCACCACCGGAGTGGCTCTCCGTGACTTGAACGCGGTTCTCAGCATGGTGGAGCTGAAAGACGATCCCTGCCGTGCCAGCACTCAGCACATACCGCTTGACCAGCACTCGTGGGGAACTGGCACTTAAAACCAGAAACACGCCGACAAATGGGCACCCACCATCAGCAACGGCGGGTGTAAACGATGCCGACCCAAAGCCACCTCCGCAACCGCCACTACCACCAGCACCGCCACCACCATTGCCATTCCAACAGCACCAGCAGCAGCCGCAGCAATGACGGACTGCTGAATTGGACACCTAAGGTGTCCTCGAAGGTGGTTGTGGACCGTGCAGACGCAAGAGACGACTACGACCCGCGACGACAATAAACAGGTGCAGCTTTCAGTGCAGATCATCAGGCGTCTGAACCGACTGCTGATGTATGCTCCGCAAGCTGGCCTCTCCCAAGATGCCCTCTGCCACGTAGACAGACTTCTCTGGCACTTCCGCTTCCGCAGAATCACCAGCACGGGGGACCACGACCACACCTAGCCCCCTGCACGGACGGGTCGGTTGGGTCGACTGTGCTCTGCAAATCATCACAGGTCATGACAGAACCTAGCCTCTCCGGCAGAAGGCCTTTGTAGAGGCCATTGCTTTTGGCATGATCCGTTCCACATGCATAGAAGACCTGGCACAGAGGGAGAAGCTGATGTGACAGTGTAGTGCACCTCTACGCCGCGTCATGAAGCTTCAACGCTGCTCATACTTGCTGGCCTTGAAGCTCTGGTCCAGATTCCATGCCTTCCACAAGTCCGTCTAGGAAGAATATGGATTTTGATCCCCCCCCCACCCCCATGTGCCGATGCCTCCTTTCCGCAATTCATCGTTTAGAAGATGATTACAAAGCTCGCCCTGACACTGACACAGCCTGGTTTTTGCATGTGTGCTTGCTTTGTTCTCCTTTCTTTCCGGCTTGGACCATGGGGCCAAGCCGCGGCCGGGAGGGTCGCCTTGTTGCTTCTTGTGTGGGTTTAGCTGAGTTTCTTATTTGGGTTTAGCCAGTTCAGCAGAATCCCGGATAGCTGCACCTCGCTTCTGTCTTGGCTGTAGTTGCTTGTTTCTTGTTTCGCTTTTGGCTTAGCACAAACCAGGAAGTGGCAACTGTTCAAGTTTTGTTCGGCATGTTTTTTTCATGTCTGTTGTCAAACTGACGTGCCCGAACCTGTCATACGAGAATCCTTTCCCATGCTAGTCACAATCTCACACACAATCCGCACTATAGCAGGGCAAAGGCCGCCGAGCAGTCTACCGGCATTACATTCCATTGAACCGATTGCAGATTACACATTAAACACGCACATTGACATACAGATCACGTGTGTGTATACACGTGTGTGAAGCGCTCATGGCACGAACAAAGCATCTTGGCCTTTTCCGTACTTTCCAGCTTTCTCTGCAATGCCACAGCGACCTGCATGCTTTGCAAAGCTAGAGCACTGACAGAACTACGAGCAGCAACCGAGCATCCACTGCCAAGTTCTGCGGCATAAACGGAGCGTGGCGGTTCTACCCAGCCCTGCAAGGCTCCCAAACTTCCGCAGCCTCCGGAAAGTCTGGCCAGCGTCCCGGCTTCTGTGCCTGCACGTATGGTACCATTGAGAGGCAACCTCTACAACAACCTGCCAGACCTCAAACTGCAGCCCCAACTCTTTTTCTTTTTAGGCTAGCCACCTCCCAACTAGCAACGTCCAGAAGCTCGTCACTTCCTCAGATGGCGGAAGCCGTTCTGGAAGACAAGCTCGCGAACACAAGGCGAGGAGAAATCATTGCAAGCTGATCTCGCACGGCTCTTCTCGCAGCCTCCAAGCGGAAAGGTGACGAGAGCCCTCAGCGCGACAGGACTCGCCCCAGACGTCGGATCCCCGGACTTTTGGCCAGAGCTCCTCACCTATCGTTCCCAACTTTTGAGCCTCTGCAGGCAAACTCCACACTCAAAGGATATAGATATATATCCCACGACACGCGGAGTATATCCCCGGCCTTGGGCTGCACATAGCCATCATGGGATGGTGAGATAAAGGCTCCGGCGACTTCGAAACCTTCCCCAGGCTTAGGGAGAAGCCTTTCACCCCTTAGCACCTCAAAGTACCTCAACCCCATCCCGGGCCACATGCCTCGCTTCAAAGGCCTGCGCCTACAAGCGTGCATCCCTTTCAACTGGCCTTCTCTCCTCAGCCGCTCAGCAGCCTGCTTCAGATCATTCATCACACTGTTGGCGAAACTGGTGGTTTTCAGCTGAAACCACGGCTTTCGGTTGAACGAGTAGAGGAGTACATTTGTACACTCGCTTAGTCAGGTTGGAACTCGGGGGTCGAAATCAGGTACAAGATTCTGAGTTTCTGATTGTTGTACGTATGAGAGGGCAGACCCTATAGGCTATAGGTACTCTAGGTCTAGGCCATTTGGGCGCAACGTAGGTTCTCGGAAAACGGCTTATTGCGGAGACTGTCTGCGCCTGGCTGGATTCGCTAGCTTACCGTACAACGAAGTAGTGTCATTGCAATGATTCCTACTACAGCAAGCGATGTTCAAAACAAAAGCCTCAAAGCACAACGCCCTCGCGCCCGGTAGTAGGAGTTGTCAGCTCATAGCTTATCAGGAGCACGATGTTAAAAGAAGCTGCCTCAAAGCACGACGCCCCGCTGATGGCGCCCGGTGGTAGGAGTTATCAGCTCATGGCTTATCCGAAGCTCGTTTGATGTCCTGCTTCGGCTCGCACGTCACCTGCTTTTTGCTTGCCTTCCAATGCCTGCTAGACCACTACAGAAACCATCCACCAAAGGTGTATGCCGTATGCCCCACAGCCACCCACATTCTGATCCGATTCCCTTCCGCAGCTGCAAAGAAGCCACTTGCATCCCCAGCAAACCACCCACGCCTTTTGCACCAGCTCCGTGTGCCCCAGATGTGGGGGGTTCATGGCACCGGTCGTCCTCATGTCGACTTCTTGTTGACATCTCGTCACCATTGTCACACTAGCCCACTCAGGCATGGACAGCAGGACTGCCAATTTTCCTGAAAAGCAGAGCGATGCGATGGAGGACGGTTTTCTTCAGGTCTCAGCTTGCCCATTGCTGGGTTGACGAACGTCAAGCTTTCTCGATCCCTTGAAGAGTCTGTTTTCTGCCCAGTTGCGACTGGCAGATGTGCTGCCGCCTCTTACCGCGACCCCTCGCGCCACGGAGAAAGCCTTTCTCAGTCTCATACAGCAAACCCCCGCTGCTGCCGGCTACCTGTTGCCGAAAATGCAAGGTTTCTCGCCTCGAGCTGGGCCTTCAACTTCTCGAGCGGCCACAAGCCCTGCAAGCTCCCAAAATCCCAGAATCCTGAACTCTTGGGGGAAGGGTCATGCCGCCCTGCCTCCCTTCTGTCGTATTCCTCTTCGGAATCTTCGTCTTCCTCCGAGCCCTCCTCCTCCTCCTTGGCAACGGCCGAGTCCTGCCACCACTGGCTAAGGCATGATTAGCTTTCTCATCATTGCCTGTTGTTGGGATTGCTGCTGCACCTGAAGCGGTAGGAGGAGTGGCAGCACCAGCGGCAGGAGAACGAGCAGCAGCAGCCGCATGTGTGATGATAGCAAGGGTGTCACTGGAAGCAGACAGCGGCAGTGGAAGTGACAGCAGCAGTGGCAGTTGCACTCTCGTGATATTCGTAGTAGCAATCACAACAGTAACGGCAGCAGCAAGGACGAGCAGCAGAAGCTGTAGCGGTAGCAGCAGCAGGAGCAGGAGCAGGAGCAGGAGCTGTAGCAGTAGCAGATGCAGTAGCAGAAGCAGTAGCAGAAGTAGAAACAGTAGAAGTAGTAGCAGTAGCAGTAGCAGTAGCAGTAGTAGTAGTAGTAGTAGTAGCAGTAGTAGCAGTAGTAGCAGTAGTAGCAGTAGTAGCAGTAGTAGCAGTAGTAGCAGTAGTAGCAGTAGTAGCAGTAGTAGCAGTAGTAGCAGTAGTGGTAGTGGTAGTAGTGGTAGTGGTAGTGGTAGTGGTAGTGGTAGTGGTAGTGGTAGTGGTAGTGGTAGTGGTAGTGGTGGTAGTGGTAGTGGTAGTGGTAGTGGTGGTAGTGGTAGTGGTAGTGGTAGTGGTAGTGGTAGTAGTGGTAGTGGTAGTGGTAGTGGTAGTGGTAGTGGTAGTGGTAGTGGTAGTGGTAGTGGTAGTGGTAGTGGTAGTGGTAGTGGTAGTGGTCGTAGTGGCAGTGGCAGTGGCAGTGGCAGTGGCAGTGGCAGTGGCAGTGGCAGTGGCAGTGGCAGGGGCAGTGGCAGTGGCAGTGGCAGGGGCAGTGGCAGTGGCAGTGGCAGTGGCAGTGGTAGTGGTAGTGGTAGTGGTAGTGGTAGTCGTAGTAGTCGTAGTAGTCGTAGTAGTAGTAGTAGTAGTAGCAGAAGTAGTAGGAGAAGTAGGAGGAGGAGGAGGAGTAGTAGTAGTAGTGGTAGTCGTCGTCATGGTGGTGGTTTCGTGGTAGCTGGTAGTGAGTGACAGTGGCAATGTCAGTGGGAGTGGTCATGGTAGTGGTCGTGGTAGTGGCAGTAGTGGTGGTGGTGGCAGTAGTAGTAGTAGTAGTGCAGTAGTAGTATGTACTGGTAAGTAGTAGTAGCGGTAGCAGTACTAGTAGTAGCAGTAGTAGCAGCAGTGTGTAGATGTACCACTCGTCGTTGCAGTAACGGTGGCAGTAGGTAGTAGTAGAAGTAGTAGTAGTAGTAGTAGTAGTAGCAGTAGTAGTAGTTGTTGTTGTAGTAGTAGTAGCAGTAGTAGCAGTAGTAGCAGCAGCAGTAGTAGTCGTCGTAGTAGTAGTAGTAGTAGTAGTCGTAGCAGTCGTAGTAGTCGTAGTAGTAGTAGTAGTAGTAGTAGTACTAGTAGTACTAGTACTAGTACTAGTGGTAGTAGTAGTAGTAGTAGTAGTAGTAGTAGTAGTAGTAGTAGGTCATAGTACAGAATTATCAGCGGTCGTAGTAGTAGTAGTAGTAGTAGTAGTAGTAGTAGTAGTAGTAGTAGTAATAGTAGTAGTAGTAGTGGTAGCAGCAGCTGTAGTAGTAGCAGTAGTAGAGGTAGTAGTAGCAGCTAGTAGTACTAGTAGAAGTAGAAGTCGAGGTGGAAGTGCAGAAGTAGAAGTAGAAGTAACTGATGGTAGTAGGAGTGCATGTAGGCGTAGTAGGGCAGCAGAAGCAGCGGTGGCGGCAGTGATATTCTAGAAGTAGTGGCACCGGTATTGGCTGCGAGGAGGACAGCAAAGATTAAAATCAGGAGAGCATCAGTCGCACAAGTCTGGGCACGACGACACAACACCGAGTACGACTGTGGTTTCGTTGGGACTCTTGCATGCATGCTGCGTGATGGGGCTCATTGTACCCTTCATCGGCCTGTGGATCCATCGGCTCAGGCGGAACGATGCCCTCCACCGACGTGCCAATTTCCTGAAGAGGGTGTTTGCATATCGAAGCCTTCTTTTTCTATCGGCTTCTGATGTCCAGTGCTACGTCTTGCGTGTGTTGGCATCTTGTTCGTAAGTTTTCTCGGTACGCAGTCTTGCAGTTTGCCCGTGTTGGCGAACGAAGGGGAAAGGTAAGACCCTCACGCCCCCTGGCTGTTTTGCGTTACTTGGCAGCTCAGAGTGGGCCACAGAACTGCACGCGCGTGAAGCTGCGAAACAAGCTTCGCGCCTTCAGGGAGCTGACACTTATTCATCTTATTCAGATAGTTCAAGCGGACTTTGCTGGTTTTATCGGCCAACTGCTTGTTCTTTGAACAGCAGCGTCGAAGTCTCTGGTGATTCCAGCACTCTCCTGAACATGCACCATCTCCCAATCATGTTACGAATGCCCTCCTTCAATATTATGTACAGGTTTGACAGGATACGCGACGGCAGAAAGTCTTTTGAGATTCCATCCTGTTCGCACGGATGCCGCACGAGTTCATGCCGGCCGAAATGGTTGGAACATCTGGAAACACCGGCAACACTAGCAAGAACTGCTGGCTACAACTGTCGTCTTTGCAGATTCCTGCTATATGTTGCAGGCAAGATCCTCGTGACTGTCCCAGCACAAGATCACATCGTAACACGATGCACTCATGGCTGCGCTGTGGCACGTGCCATTTACTCGCTTATTGGATTCCGATATGTTTCCGCTCTAGGTTCTACATGCAGCTGCTCCATGCAACACACACGAGCTGGCCATACGGGCACAGGTAGCTGTGATCCTTTGAGCACTTGATGGGTGCACAATGCGGTTCACTGTCGAAGCCGATGCCTCTGAGAACGAGCCGCAAATGCTGAGTGCAAAGAGCAGCAAAAACTCAAAGGTGGCAACAGCTTGCAGCCGATCAGAGAAGGCCGAGGTTGGCTGCTTTGCGTCCTGAGAGCCTGCACCGGATCGCGATCGTGACCGCCGGCATGCGTTTTGTGCCGGAGAATGTGAAACCGCGGTGGTCATGGCAGCTTAGCTGGCCAAGCAAAAATTTGCTGGATCCTCGCCAGCAAGGCACATTAGCACGATTTCCTATTTGGTACGGAAGTGGAACTGCATATTGCAAACCTGCACACAGGTTCAGCCAGTGGCAATCAGCTCAGATCAACATTGTCTTTTTCTGTCACAAGCATGATTCTGAACCTGGGCGTTCTGTGTACACGCCAGCTGTCTCTGATTCGATGAAGACAGCTGCAACATCCGACATCTCATGTCATCTCCGAAGGCGTTTGAGAGCCACTGTGAGGATCGTGATGCGGGTCATCAGGCGACGTCTTATGGTACATGCCTTGGCACACAGGTCTCTCTGACCTATCTGGAGCACAGCACACGGGCAGTCACAGCAGTCATTGCTCGCCTGAGGTTCACACTTTCAGGAGTGAGAGCAGACGGACCCAAGTAAGGTGCCCCAGAAAGCTCATATAGCTCATCCATCATAGCTTGCATAGTCACCTGCAGAACCATGCAGGACCCATGCGCTCTCGAGCCATTTACAGATGGTCAGCGCAATTTCAGCCGCACTTCAGAGCACATCAGATTGTGCGCTTGTCGGTAGGATTCACAACACGACTGCAGCAGTGCAGCTTGTCTACTGTACTTGGAAGCTCCGGAGGCTGACAAGATGTCGCCCCCGGGCAACTTCAGTACAGCATGCCATTGAGCTACGCCGCAACAGCAGTCAAGAAGCAGGTACAGCAACCAGGATTTCAGACCCCATCTCATCATTGAAACTGGTTCGAGAATGGCTGATTCAAGACTTCCGGTGCCGGCTGCACGGACTTCACCACATGCTTAGGCATCCGATCTCCGTCGGGCTGAGGTGCCGACAAATGATGCCCTCACCTGCGGCAGAGCTTCGCAAGATGATCAGTGTTTCCGGTGTCAGACCTTGTCATCTTGCTAGACTCAGGAGTCGGGTTCTTGTCGCAGTAGCGATCAGCAATGGCCACGGCCTTCTCATCGAGCTCTGCGATGGTGTCTTCCACGTTCATGCCCTCAGGAAAAGGAGTTCACTGCTGCGTCACAACAATACCACTGCTGCACTCGGCTGAGTTTGGCATGAAAGGTCGGAGCACCTGCTGCTGCAGTCGAGAGAACCGCTGCTTGACTTCTGAGTCGACCTGTCAGCTTGAGTACTTTTCTCTACCAGGCAGTCGCTGATCGACATGGAAGATTCCAACCTGGAGCAGGGTCTTGCCACTCGGCGGCTCGGCCAAAGTCATCACTCCCCGCAACACCTCCTTCCATGCGGCATCCCAATCAGCCTAGATTGGGCTGAGAATAATTTGCGCAAGGCCTGGAAGCTGACTTTGGAGTCCGACTCATCTGCTTCCAGCCAGTCGAACATGTCCAACAGATCCTCTTGGCCACAACTTTGTATCGACTTGCTTGCCGAGCTGGCGAAAGAGCAGCCGATGGGTTTTGGGGGTTGCAACAAAGCCAAACATTCATTCGATGGAGGGCCGGAATTTCACTGACTGACAGAGGCCGCCTTCTTTGGGACCGAGGGCACCTCAAGAAGCCATGCTGACGACTTCTTGTCGAATGATTGACGCAGCCTTCCAAGCGCCCAGCGACATCCATGATCTTCTTCGCATAAAACGGAACCTTCAAAACGTCTTGCCAGTCTCTGGCTGCAAGCCTTCAGCCGACAAAGTGTCTCCGACTGTCTCAGACGCCTATGTATGCTACTCTGTGCGATGATGCAAGGCCTTTTGTCAGTGGAGAGGCCATGCGATGCAAAGAAAACGTCGTTCAGGGCCTTCTGAACCTGCAGCACCGCGACGCACACGTCAAAGCGCAGCGTGCCGATTACAAAAGCCCCCTCCATGCTACCGGAAGAAGCTTTTTCAGCAGGTTGGCCTTCGCTCGCCGTTCCCCTTGCAGAGCATCGTCCTGCTCACCGGAAGTCGGACGACACAGCACCGCCAGAGACTCCATCCCATGGCTGCCCCGGCCTTCTGAGACTGCGCCTCCCTGGCATAGATCATGTTGTCGCTGACCACCTGGCAAGTTCCGTTTGCCGGGCCTTTCCGGTACCCGTCACCGTACCCGATTTAGATTCAGAGGCCCCGACACCGGTCATCACCTCGAAACGAGTGATTCTGTGAAGCCGAGCAGGCTGGGGACATGCGCGGCTATTCCTATCCTGGGCTTCCGGCCGACAGCAAAGCCCACGTTGAGATGATAATGAAAAGGACAAACATGAACTTGAGACTTGGACACCTGTGCTCAGCATGAAGCTGCCTCTCGGCATGGACTATAATGGTGCCGCGTCGCCGCGTCGCAGGCCCCCCCCACATCCTCCCACCACCCATGGTATGCCCCCCCCCCGCCCCCAAGCCAGGCCTCTCGTCCCATCAGACAGTCACGCGTCATCCGCGTAACTCCCCCCCCAAGCCAGGCCTCGCCTCTCGCCTTGGCAAACGGGGGGGGGGGGGGCGAGAGGGATAACCCACAACCATGGAACCACAAGACAGCGGACCACAGGGGCGGGGTGGGCAAGGATAATCCACACATTTAACCATAGGGCTCCTTCCCCTTCCCCTCTCTTCGCCACACAAATGAGAATGATGGGGATGATGTTGTGCACAATGATGTTGATTTGCTAATCCCAGTGTGGCTGTTGGTGGTACCTTTCCTCTTATGTTGATCTGGGCTTCGGCTCTGCATGTTCATTGCTTTATCTAGTTGAAACCTGTGATGTTCTTGCGAAAACTGTATCGACCGTTGTCATTCCAAGCCACGTTTCGGCTGGGTTCGTTAAAAGTAAGCTTGAGCACATCTTTGAATGATTTTCATTCGGGACTCTTGAGCAAGGGACCGGAGGAGAGTGCGGATGGGGATCATGACCACCATCTTTGCCATCATCATCATCACCATCACCATCATATTCATGACTATCATTGGCTTTGGAGCTCAGGGCAGATCGGAGTTCAATGGATCTGTATCACATCCTACGTTCCAAACCCTTAGCAACCGGACGCCCAACCAGCATTAGCCATGGAAGGTGGCACAGCCGACCGCAACCACAGGGGGGAGAGGGGCCCACACCACAGGGAACCACAGGGGGCGAGGGTGGTATACCATGGGGTGGGGGGGGGGGAGGGGGGGCCTAGCAGCGCTGCACCATATATCGGTGTCATGCTGTACACGCTTGCATGACTGAGGGCTCTGCGCATCCAAGAGAGGCATCACATCAGGCCACTCCTGCAAAGCACATAACAGATGCCATTCGACGATCTTCCATGCATCATCCACGGTCGAAGCCTCACCATTCATCAGGACGAAGAGCGTGAACATGGAGTCAGGCACATTCTGAAAATTGGCTTTTGCAGCGTCTGGCACATCCTTCCGGTGAAGCAGGTCATTGCACAGAACTTAACAAAGCATAAACAGATGCTGAAGCACGAAGACCAATGAGGCCCGCCTCTATGTGGGTCTCGCGGACAATACGCGTGATCACAATTGCTGACCTTTGAACCGGCGATCGCGGAAGTCGGCTGAAAGTCGGTCACGCTGCGAGAAAGGTCTTAGTCTGATCAATCAGGTCTGAGTTGTGGACGCATAGAGCGCCACCATTGTAAGGAGCAGAACCCAGAACATGCTTTGAACAGCCTTGTCAAACAGATGGCCCAGCATCACCATCCTGCTGCGCAAATTCTGCCTCAGCAATGCCGAGGGCCAGCAAATAGAGCGGCTGAACTGCCTGTCGAAAGAAATTGCAGGCATCGGCAGACACGTCACGTATAAATGATACCGCAAGGCGCGGCGGCGCCTTCACGAGTCTGAGAACTCGCAAGATCCTGGCGCTGCACTAAGGCTACGTTCCCCTGCAGCTATCGGCGGCTAAAGCAGGTGCTAGATGTCAGCAGTGTGACCAAGGTGTGCCTAAACCAGGAGACTTAGAAACCTCTGTCCTGAGCATTCGCAGCAAGCGAAAGAGCATGAGCGAGCTCCCCAGCTCATGACTTTGATCTCGACCATACACCGCAATGAAAACGATCTTGATGACCTGCAGTATTGTGTCTGTCACTTGCCACACGAAGATTGAAGGTTTGGGACTTGCACGGGGAACCTCTTATCGCAGGTTGGCCACGTGAAAACTGAAAACATACACACACACACACACACACGGAGACACGCACACCGCGTAAGCAACTACAGTAGCAATTCTCCGACGCCCTGGATCAGCAGGTCTTGCTCCAAGCTGCCCATTGGTCGAGGGTGCCCAAGACCACGATGATCATGTCCAGCCAATTCCAAACGTGGTCCTACTGGTATGATGCTCAGACCGCCAGGCAGTCTAAGACGGTACATGATAGCACATGATTGCTCATTAGCTGTAAAGCTGTGCGGCGTCCTCAGACGTGAAGAAGTGAAGCCAGCCCTGCTTTCGGATGTTGACCTGCAGCCACGGAACCCTTGCTTCCAGACGCCCTTGCAAAAGCGACGTAATTGCACTCAGGTTCTGCAGTAATGATTGACAGCACTTTGCCCTGGATGGGGACCATCTCAATGCTTCAGTGATTTGGCAAACGACTCCATTAGCCCAGGCGCGTCCACAGTACTTATATAATCTTATATACACAGCCGCTACAAGTAAGAGTCTTAGGGCATCCAGCAGCACTTCTGAGCTATGAGCAGCCAGTTCAAAAAGGAAGAACAACAGAACCTCAGCAGTGATCGATCTGACATATCTGACTGCTTGGAGACGCCCTGAATCGATCCAACCGCAGATATTTGTCTTCGATGGGTCCCGAGCCAAGTCGTTTATGGGTTCCCAAAGCGGAGACTGGATGTCAGTCTCCAGGCCTCAGCACAGGTTGGGCGAATATGCGCAGTGATCTTCAAGCCCTCACGAAATTGGTCAGCGCATTGGCTCCGAGCCCATCAGGATCACACTGGTGATGATCACTGCAGAGACCACCTGCCACTCATTCAGTTTGGAGCGCAGAGGAATCAGACGCCCTCTGAGACTGTGTGTGGGGTCATGGCTCATGCGGAAGCTTTGCAGGCTGAGCTGGTGGCTGAAGCGAAGGCCACGCCCCTCGTGACAGTTGCCAGGTGAACCGGTTTGGGTTGCATCCAGAAGCAAATGCCAGGTGTGTTTGAAACAGCAGAGAGGCGCCAAACTCATAAGACACAACACTGAGCCGTCGAATGAGAGCACGGCTCGGTCCACCGAAGATCTGAGCGAAAAAGCACCTGAAAGGGAAGACATTGACATCCACAGGTCTGAAGGTCTGACCGAAGTTCCCAAAATCCGTGTTGAAAGATAATTGAAGGTCTCGACAAGCAAGCGGAATGCTGCCCAGCCAGAATACATTGAAACGCGTAGCGTGCCATCGAATATTTCTTACGATTGCCAGGATAAACTGCACTATCTACTGACAAGTCATGTCCTGGCGTCACTTCGGTCTCGAATTCAGCACTGACCCCTCCACTGCAGTGATCTTTTGGCGAGCCCCGAGCCCCAACGAGCTTCACCACGCGGATGAACCTGGCAATTGCCCAGTGCTACGTTGACTCAAAACCGCGCGCTCCGAATCGCGAATCGCGCCTAAGCACTCGGATGCCTCGCAAGACCGGCAGCCAGACGCTGGCCTGCAAACAGTTGGAAGGATGTAACGACCTTGATAACCAGGACCTTGCAGCTACGAAGTGTTTGGCTCAAAGTAGGACAGCGGAAAGGACAGGCTAGCCAGTAAGCTCTAGCCAGTATCAGATCTGGTCGGCTCAAGCGGCTGTCGCACAGCGTGCCTGTGACTTGACTCCAATATGAGCATTCAATGATGGAAATATCCAGCGGTCGAATACGCCCGCACAAACAATAACCTTGGAAGCAAGCTGGATCCAGGTGGACTATTGCGGCGCCACACAACATCTAGAATCTAGAATCTAGAGTCTTGAACCATCGGCTCGCAGCCTTACGTCCGGCAGGAACGGAGGCAACAAACTGACACCATGCTTCACGTGCCAAGGCACGAAATCGAAGAGATTCCACATGCCATCGACAGCATGGGCGCAGAATCGCAATCGAAAATGAAGCCTGAGGCCAGGCCGTCGGGATAGACATCCATGACGCGACTAGGTTCATTGAAGCCTCGACTGGGGCTGCTCTGTCAAGATCCCCACATCCTGGAACCTACCCCGGCGAAGCTCTGAGTCGTGTGCGCGGAGCAACGGGACTGTTTGGAGGCACAAGCGGGTGCCCGCCGGTAAGCGGTAAGGAAGCCCCAACCGGGGCAACAGAGCCGAAGCCATCAACGGGCCCCCACGAAACGTCCGTGCTCGTGCTCTCCACTCAAGCGCAGCCAAGCAGCAGTCGCATCACGACCTAGCACCGGCAATCTTTATGGCCGCATTCACGAGCATCCAGAATGGCAAACACGAAATGCCAGTCCTCAAGAACTCAACCAATACTTCCAGCCTCGATGGTGTACAGCACCAGGCAAGTGTCGTTTACGTTGTCGAGGACCTCCACAGGTCTGTGCGAGGGCGGAGCGAGAAGATGTCACGTTGCGTTGCACCTTCGCATCCTCGTCAGTCACATCACACGCAACCTGCTCGGCAAAACAGCGCCACCAGGTATTCGGAACCCAGTGCCACTTCGTGCATGAGGCATGGAAGGCCAACCGTGCAGAAAGTGTTCAGCACGCATGTCTGCTGTGTACCCATGCGTCCTCCGGATTTCTATGTGCGTCTCTTTGAATGCGCATTCGCTTCTACAATGCTTGTGCTTGCGTTTATCTGTGTGCGCGTGTGCCCTTGTGGTGATCATCTTCTGTGAAGTCTACAATCTACAAAAAGTAATCAGAAAGAATCCATTGCATTCAGCAATATGCGGTCCTTGGGCCTCCTCACTAACCACCCCGGTCCTAGAGTCCCAGAGGCCCCAGCGCTTTCATGCCATCAGTTGTGCCCGAACTCATTAGCTTCGGTTTTTTCGCCACCTGGATGTAGAGGCACATGATGTTGAAGGCAACCACCAAGCCGGACCTGGCTTCTCTACGAATCTAGGTGTCGCGATGCTCGAAGCATGTTTAAGCACCAGGCAGCACGAGAAACCAATCGGACTGGATGAAGCCCAGAGCACCTCCAAGTTTTGGGTATCCTCATGCTCATATACTGTAGCATCAGCTTACCCTACGCTTCGAGTGCCGAGCCTGGCAGTCTCATATCCTCCTGAAAGCGACATCAGCTGTCTGTGTTTGCACTGACATGATGGGACGTGGATCACAGGCTGCAGTTGCAGAAACCGCGAAACCGCGGGCGACCAGCAGGGCTGAAGCATGGATTTGAGCATCTGGCCCGGTGCGCTTCCGGCGACCAGGTGGGATAGGGCAGAAGCTGCTGCGCCTGCAAGATGCAAGCTGCAATGCCAAGGAGTGGCATCCGATACAGACAGCTGAAGTCTAATTCTGAACATTTCTGCAACCCGCAGGTTGTTAGCACACATGGCCGCGCGATGCGAGCATGACTTTGACTCTTGAGGCCGCTCCTGGGCATCATTCTCGGATTCCAACTCGTAGAGCTCCCTTGGCCCAGGAGACTGTAAGGAAACTTCTAGGACACTCTTTTGGCCTGCGGCAGGATATTTAAAGCCCAAAGCCTCCTCGGCCAAGGGGCGGTTTGAAGAGCTGCTCGTCGAAGTCCGAAGACAGATGGCCGGAGACCAACCTGCACAGCTCCGATTGCAGAAGTAAAGGTCAGGGTCCTTGGGAGTTCCACTCTTTCTCTGCTTCGGTGAAGAGAACACCTCATCCTGCAACTCATCAAAACCTTTCAACATGCCTATCTTTCCAGTCCCTCGCCAAAACAGCCATCAACACCCGCTTTTTTGCAGTCCCTGCCTTCCCGTGCTGGTCGGAGTCGTCCTCGGAAGAGCTTCGGAAGCGGAAGCACTGAAGCAGCGCATGCAGAGACCCACTCAGATTCGAGGACGTGCAGGGAGACAGGGCCCTGACGCCCGAGATGCTCGCTGCGAAGACCTCGGGCTCGGGAGGCAGTGTGAGGGCAAAGCAAAAGGAAGCGGGCGGCCCTCCATCGCTTTTGCGTTTCGCTCAGCCCAGCACACTCGACGAAACGGCGCCTCTCCCAAGAGACATGGAATGGTGGAAACACATTGGGGCCCAGGCAGCCAAGCCGCGGAGGACGAGGAAGGGCTGAGCTCTCCTCGCCGATCCTGACAGCGTGCTGTTCCTCTCTGAGCAGGGTGGGCTCTAGGCTCCCTGCTTCGGATCGGGATGATGCGGACGACCTCACGGCTCCAGGCTGTACGGCATGTGGGATAATACTGTCTTACAGATCCTGGGGTGCTGGGGTGCGGACGGAGAGGACTCGGGTCCCGAAGCCTCCGCCTCGATAGGTGTAGGTCCTCGAAGAGACGCGCTGATGTGCAGGTGCAGTCAAGCATGCGTAAGGCGTCTTTGCAGCCCGGGGTCCATGTCTGGAGCCACGGTCCATGGAAGTGCACAGAACGAAAGCTGCAGTTGTTTAAGAACCCATAGTCTTAGTACGGCTGGGTTTCTTGAAGGTTTGTTGGTCCGTGTCACTTTGCTGCACCATGCGTCCTGAGTGGAAACCAGCTTTTGCTGTGGTTAAACGAATGTGTGCCATGCAACGTTTGCAAAGCTGTGCGAAACGCTGTTCTGAGCAGTCTTGCTGCCTGATTGTGGTCCTATTTCTCCGGTCATGATCTCTCGTCTATCTAAGTGGCCTTCTCGAGCCTAGATACCCCGGCGAATTGCCCTCAAGAAGGGGTGGCAATGCGAAAAGAGCCGATGATGCATCACCACATCGGGATCCTGTTTGGGGATCAGACGGCACCTGCATGCGGGGCGCCGGCCCCAGCTGCTGGCTTAGCGGGTTCACCACCTGCACAAACTCTGGCATATGGCTCTCGGGAGCAACACGAATCTAACACTAAAGTAAGCTCTTCATCTTTCAGGTCTGGGATACAGGCCGGTTGCCCAGCCATGGTTCCCTGGCTTGACAAGACATGCGAGAAGAGTTGGGAACTGCGGCTCTAATTCCAATCCATGATGTTTGGCCGGCATGCGACAAGACCACCCACTGGCATCCACAACATGCTTCTGTGGCCCACTCCTCACTGGTCACTGGACTCAGACACATGGCCGCGCCTCTGCCGCAGCAGATCTTAGGAAACCGGTGCTACTGTAACCAGCTGGGCCCAAATCGAGGCAAAAGTCATGTGCTCCGTGCAAGCACATGCCATATCAGTGCCCAATTGGCGGCACAAAGGCACGATGAAACCAGCACTCTCTACAAGGACTCTCTGACACTCTAACAGACACCGGTGGCACAATGCGCGGTATTTTGTCAGCGATTCTCTTTAAAGGGCGATGTTCATGAACTTCTTCTTTGAGAACTGGAACCTCGGTAGCTCCAAAACTCATGCAAGCGACCGGTGCACAACACTTGCAGTAGCAGCTTTGACTCTGTAATGCAAACTCCCTCTAGAAAGCTTTCTCCCTCTCGACCTCCGTCCCTCCAGCCAAACAAACGCGACCATCTCAGCCCACCACCACCATTTGTTCGGCTGTCCGTCTGGATAGAACATGGGCAACAGCCTGGACGCCGTCTCCTGGAATTAGTGGTGTGGCTGCAGGGCACTGCGGTGGTGTTGTCAAACTGTACTTCGGGTTGAGCAGCTTCAAACCCCCACTGCGACTGCTGCCGCATGCCTGCCGAAGCTGCTTCAGGTACGCCTGCCGTGGTTTCGATTCCGGTATTCCATTGCACCTGACAAGACGGGCCTTGGCCATTTGGCAGTCCTGAGGTGGCCCGGCTTTGAACCAGCTGCCGAGGATGAACCTCACACAGCTTGGCAGGCGCCCGCGTGACCATGACCTGCCCTGATGCGAGCGCTGCGGTCTCTTGGGGCCGAGCCCGGAGTCTCCGGGTCCCGGCAACTCGGAGGCAGCCACGACCTGAGAAAACTCCGAAACCGGAGCCCCTCCCCCGCCTCCCCCCTCTGGGCGAAACCTCCAGCTGGCGCGCCGCATCGTCGGCGCTGCCGGCCTGGATGCGAGCGGCCGCGGCGTCTTTGATGCAGCACGCCACGTCTGACTTCACAATAGCAGACGTTGTGTACCCCACCTGTGAAGCCACCGACAGGCATTTTTGAATCCACAGGGTCAGGTACACCAAAACCTGACACAGATTCAGCTCTATTCTTTTTGCAGCGAACTCATCGAGGCAACACGAAGCTTGAGGCTTGAATGACCCCCTGAAAAATCGTGAACATGAAAGGAACTGGGCACATCGCCCGATCTGCATCGCCCAAGACCTGCAGCTACGGCAATCGAGAGAAGGGAAGGCACGGGCAGTGAAAGAGCACGGGGTGGATGGTTTCACGAAGTGTTCTTCCGATTCCAGTGGTTGCCGGTAGTCTCCGCATGCGACTGGCATCACAGCAGCTTCGCCAGCATACGCACACCTTTCTCCAGGCAGCTCCCCGAGTCACGGTGTCACGGTCTGTGCTTGGTTTCCAGTAGCTGCGCAACCACTTCACCCAAGGTAACATTGAAAGATTCCATGGCCTTGCTGACTTTTGCAGCTGCAGGCTCCTCCGAAGACTCTCGTGAATAACTCCACTGCAGGAACAGGTTCGTCGGGAAGCGTCTATGCATCATGAATGGCAAGCACATGCCCAAAGAGTGCAGCGTCACATTCTGCAGAGTTGCTGAACCTTGGCTTACAAACCTAGCAACCCAGGACTTGTGCAGGTGCATTGCTGTGACGTACATCCACATCTTGCTGGGGCAACCAAAGCCAGGTAGAGCCAACAGAGTGCTCAGCTGTGTTTTGCTGGCAAAAGCTGGTAGTGCCTTCCCAGTCTCCAGCTCTGCAAGCAAGGCGGCACGCAGGGCTTGGCGTCCTCTGCACCAGTCTGCCAGAGTAATGCCATAAACATCTTTCACCCACTCCATGGAATAGGCGTAGTGCGTAGTATGTGAGCCTGGCGCGGAACACCTTGCTGCCACAGCATGGAATGAAGCTAAGTCTGTGTAGTCCAGAAGGTTGGACCAACTGATTCCCGCTGGAGAGAGCGCAGAAATCTGTCTGATCAGCTGGCAACTGTCTACAGTTAACTCGTCCTGCCAAATCTCGATCTCAAGTCTTCCTTCCACGAGCAGCTGTCGGATGCTATTGAGCTTCTTGCAGATATCGTTCACGAAAAGTTGGACGATTGAGTCTGCCTCATCCGACACAGGCAGGTAGTCCTCCAAATTCATTGTGGCGAAGATGGAGTCTGCGTTGTGCAGTGGAAGGGAACCGAAATGCGACGCCCACATGGTGATGCTACCCACTGCCAGCTGGTCGGCGCTCTCCTCCCTCTCGTCCCATACGTCTCCGGTCAGGAAGCATCTGCATGCTGCCAGCCGATCCCGTTGCCGAACAAGACTTGCAATTGTACAAGCATCCCACTTGCGGGCGTCGCTGACAAAGTACTGCAGCCACTCCTGCCGACACCTTGTGAGGTCCGGTGCTGCAGTGGATTTCCAGAAGTCCACAAGCTGACGTATTCCGGGCTTTTGAGCGGGCGGCTTCAAGGCCGATACGGTTCGCTTGAAGGATGAAAATGTTCCCCTGGACCAAGTTGATGAATACCACACCTGCAACACGTCATGCACTGGAATGCTAACGTCCTTAAGCATTGCTGCAATGACCAACGTCTTCGCCACTGCAAAATTGTTCAGGTCGATGCCGACGAAGCGAACGTTGGTAGCTTGTTCCTGTATGCTGGCATCCAGCAACACGCGTAGGTCATTGAATCCGACAGCAACATATACAGAGTTGGCGGATATCGACATTGTGTTGGGCGGGGAGTTGCTGAAGTTGGTGCGGAAGTGGTGGAAGTCATGCTGCTTTCGCTGCTCAGGAAGTACGTCGCCAATCTTCAGGCCATCGAAGCAGGTCCTGGAAGTTTGAGGACTGTGCTGTTCACTTAGAGTTCGTTGCCATCTCAGCTCTGTCGCGGCCATGTAGCCATTTAGGAGAAATTCCCAGGCCTTGTCCGGTTCAAGCCTTTCCGGCCATGACTTGTTCTCACAGGCTTCGCGGAACTCCATCGGAAAGCAGGGTGGAGACCGTCTTTCTGGGCAGTTTGCGAGCACCCTAGACATGTAAGTCGTTTCCAGTTCAGGACAAATCTCCTGGAGGTTGTGACCTTTGACGGACACTGTGCCCTGCACAGGGACCCCATTTTCTGATTCCAACTGCACTTCCCATCGTTCGGCCGACGGAATCCACCGCAGGATGCTTCCGTAGCGCCCGTTGAGCTCAGAGCGAGCTCGAAGGCCTCTGACCCGAACATAGGCTCCTTTCATCATCCCTGAGTGCCAACCCAAGTGCCCAACGAGACCAGATCTCTTGAGCCTTAAGCATGGAAGCACTTGAGACTTGCCCGCTCGACAACGACTTATCTCTCGAACAAACTCCCCATTCAGCTTTCCACTTCATCCTTCTGTTCTGCGCCTCGAAATTCTTGAATAGAATGTTCCACCGAAAGCTCCTGCGGCCCGGCTCGGCTTCGGCTTCCTGTCTCGAGTCTCTCCGTGCGGTGAGCTCTCCAATCGATGCTTTTGAGTCCATGACTCTCCAGGCTACAGGGATGCCAGCCCGAGGAAAGTGTTGCAGGAGGAGGCGTTGTACTTCTGCACTCACTTTCCAGGCAAGCATGAGAGCAGCTCCGTTGGCAACTTGCAATCAACGCGCACAAGCTACTCACAATGTTGAATTGAAACAGAGGGAGAGAAATCTAAATATGCAGCATGCAGTCAACATGCGGAGGAATGCACTCTTGGACAGGTGAGACTTGCCCACCAAGACTGTCCACGAAGCTGCTAGGGCCGTTAGGGTTTATGATCCAAGCCGAAGATTGAACTCCTTGTGCAGTAGTTACTCGGGTCCTCAACGCCTCGTCCACCAAGTCGACGAACTGTCAGGGTTTGGTTTCGTCAAACCGGCGAAGCACTCAGCCTGCATTTCTCTGCATCCTGATGTTGTGAACCTGTCCTCATCAGTGAGGCCCAGAGAAGCAGGGGTGGGAGCAGGTCCTCTGCAGGACAACAGCCTCCCAAGTTACCGGGCTTCTGGGCCTTCACTGAAACTCATGAAGTTCTCTGTGCGGGGTCCTCTAAATCTGCCTGTCTTCAGGGGCACCAGCGGGCAGCCACAAACGCTCACTGCGTTGCTGCCGTTGTGCCTCGCATGCGCATGCACGGGTCAGGCAAATTGCACCGTGCCTCAGATCTGGCACCTGGAATGGTACACTGGCATGGCCGTTATAGCTGCGTGGTGAAAACTCTCGTCTGTAGTTCGAGGTATTTGTCTGGGTAGTGTAATACTTGTCCCTAGTATCTGAATCTTATCGATTGGTGAAAACAGTCCTGCTTAAGCCGGTCCTACAACGGACGTACCGGCTTGTGTTAAGCCAAACAGCAGCCAGAGATGCAGTGGATAACGATGTGACAACGACCAATCAACGACGACGCAACGAAACAGCAGAACAGCAAGTTGATATAACGACAACAGCCGCCGCCCCCCCTCCTCACAACAAAGGCAGCGGCAGCCCGCCGCCGCTGCTGCGGCAGCAGCTGCTAGCACCGCTGCCACAACCACTGCACCGTCACTACTGCTACTCGCAACAAAGCAACGACGACTGCTCTGCTTGTACACACTACCCCTTCCAATACTTTTTCCATCTCTATCCAAACCAACTGCGACAAATCCTGCCTATTGGAATTTTGGCACCATTGCCAAACCAAAGCAGCCGACCGAAGCCGAAATAATTCAAGATGCAATGCAATTTTTTTGTATGTAAGACTAATTCGTATTTAAATACATATATCAATTTGTGATCGTTTATTCCGATGGCTAGTGTTGTTTGCACCATTCTTTTGATTTACATGTTCTTATACATACGTTATTATTTGACCATACTTCTTTACACTATGGTGAAATCGAATTTTTTACATTGAAGTACTAATTTAACTACGACTCTTCCTCCCACTGCTGCAGTTTTGAAAGTACTACTTACTACACCCCCTGCGACCACAACCACAACACGACAGGAACCAGTGAGCCCAAGGCCAACAACAGCAGCAACAGAGCAAGGCTTTCTGCGTGACTCTGAAGCGTCCAGTGCATAGAATGCCATTTGAGGCGGGGTCGTGAACTTTCCACAAATCTGCATAGTGGAAAATGTGCAAGACATGGGCCCTGCACGGACGTTTACGAGGAAGGTACAACGTCGACACGTACTTCGCTGCGCATTTGCCCGGCAGGGAGCTGTAGGGCACCGCTGGTACCTTGCACTAGCAACCTATAGATGAGTTGAACGTGCAGTGGAACATTGCCGTAGTCCAGATGGCAATCTCGATGCGTAGCAGAGCCCCGCTTCAATCTAATCAAGAAGAAATCCACCCTCGCATCTCTGGACCTCCATGCGAATGGAGATCAGCTTCAGATCTCCGCCCCCTTTTTTCGGAGGTCCCCAGACAGCTCTGCTGAGTGCACTCGATGAGAAGTCCCACTCTGCTCGTCGTGACTCGCTGCTCGGCCGGTTGGCCCCCGGGCTTCGCCCTGCTGCGCTCTTTGCTGCTGGCACTGGGACCATTTATACTCAAAAGGTATGCTATGGCTGATTATGGCTGTACCTGGCTGTAGCTGCACAGCTCATCCGAAACTGTGTTGTACTGTAGTATCAGGGCTTTGGCAAGCTGGGATCAAGGCGAGCCTGCCGGAACTGCACCGTTCCTTTGCAGTGCGAGTCAGCAGTGGAAACACACCATCTGCCTGCTGCAAGGCAACCCAAGACTGAGAAGCTGCTAGTGCGGTGGAGCAGAAGAACTTCTGTTGGCAAAGGCAGCTGGGGTAGCTTCCGGCCAGTCTCAGGTGAAAACAGCAAGGCTGCTCAAGCAGCTGGAACCTAGTCTAACGCTGCACATGCTGTGCCCACAATCGTGATGAAGCCGCACCAAAGAAAGTGGCAGAGCTGGAAGAAGCTTAGACTACTGGGACATTATGTATAAGTCAGACGTTCTGCCCGCGTTGCTTCGCAAGCAGCGATTGAAGGAAGCACGAACTTTAAAAGAGAGGATTGTCAGCCAGCCAGGATCCTTTGCATGTCTCGCATAATCAGTACTCACAGCCATGCAAAAGCCTTGAGATCGTCCGCTTCCAGAAACAAACCTGATGAGGCGTGGGACTACGGTGGTAAGCCTCAAAACTTCTTGAACAACTGCAGGAAATTCTGAAGGTACTGATGTCCTGTCATTGCACACATCAGTGTGAGGTCTACTCCTTACGCACATTGTATCACCTCGTTAGTGCTAAACTTGCAAGCACCTGGTGGCTTGAAAGGGCCGATAGGGCTCTCACTGTAAGGCGTGCCATCCTCTTCCCACCTGTTGCCTCTCTCCCGGAACAAAACGGATGCTGATTTACATCATTAACGTTTGCATAAATGGTCACAATACATTCAGGAGGAGGCACCCGCACAAAGCTCATCACGGCTCGCCTACAGGCCCTTTCAGGCCAGCTTGACAGCTTATGTACAAAGCCGACTCACCATCACGGTGAGACTGCACGCCCGGAGCAAATACAAGCTGAAAATTGTCGTGTCGTTCAATGATGATTAGATAGGAGTTCGGGGTGTTTGGCTGCAGGCCCCTTCTTGGAAGAGTGCACACGGCGCCACTCCAAAAGCGGAGAGCACGGCGCTGAATTGCAGGACGAAAGGTTTACCAGGTCGCTGTGATCGCCAACTCATCCAGCTCCCACTGCACTTCAAGTTCATGGAAACCTCTGCCTGCTGCCCTGACGGGAAAATTTCGCCTTGCCAGCAAAGCCAGTTCTTGACAATGCCAGCGGCTCCGCTTGTGGTGAAGAGAAGGTCTGAAACGAAACGGCGTAACAGCTTTTCAAAAAGAGCTTCTCCTACCTTTGCACTCTCACCAAAGCACAACATGCACTCAGTCTCAGAGGACTGTCATGGCAAACTGGCGAAATCTGCTGTTATGAACAGCGGGATCAATGATCAATGCTCGGCAAGGACTGTCAAGCCGTATGTCATCCACATCAGTCACTGCTTGCTCCACAGGAGAACTGAGAGAACTGGCTGAAACCATTGCGGCAAGTCTTTCCCGAGCACATGCAACTCTCGCCTCGATCCCCAGGTTTCTGCGAATGGTCGGAGGACTGCCGCATCAGTGGCTTGCCAATCCAGTACCAGGCTGAGCCACGCCGCAAATCGGAATGTGGAGCTCGCATCATATGTTGCGATTGTCAGGCCCATCCGCATTGCGAGAAACAAGTCTCTAAATGATGCCCGAAGTTAAAAATTCCTTCGAGTTCATCCTACAGTCGGGTGCTCACCCAGAAAACGATTGAAGCCAGCCTGAACAGGAGCGCATGTCTGACATTCTGCTCTATGAAGTGGAGTCAACCTACTCAAGGTACTAGCAAGACGGACCAGCCTAACTTGCCAGGGCTAAGACGCCTGCAATAACAATGTAGAACCACGTGGCTACCCCAGCTCCTGTCGCACCTCAGAACATGCGCACGTCCTCCTGCATTTCCTGCATCATGAGTACCACGCAGGATTGCAAGCATCTTTGAAAGTCTGATTGCTGCGGAAGTTGAAACCTTAGACATGTGTCAGAGCCTCGACATCCTGCATATCGCTGGTCTGCTCCAGCCACACGATACCTGGAGGCTCGCCCTCCAGTTCCTTGGAATGCACGGTCCACAACCTCGAACTCTTTTGCAACGACACATCAGCAAAAGAAAGTTTTGCTCAGGTCCACACCAGTTCCATTTCCTCCAGGTCGTCTGCCCAGGTCCAAGCCTGCGGCTGTTCGGACCCCCTCGAAGCTGTTGGCCGGGGATCAGCAAGCATAAAGCTACCAGGACGTCCAAAAGAAGGTATGAGTATCGCTTCGACCCCCTTGCAGGATACTGGCGAAACAAGGAAACCATGCAGTCAAATGAGAAGTATGCCTCTACGACTCTACGACGTGCATGGCAGAACCGACTGGAGCTGAGGATGGCCTCGTCACCGTTGTTCCATGCAGAGTCTTCGGCCTTCCGTGAGTTCAGACGTCGAACATAGTTCATGCCATGAAACGACTCACCGGCCTGGGCTGACTGAGGATTCTCCTCCTCCTCTTCCTCAATCTCTTCCTTTCCGCGGGTTCCGGTGTCTGGAATCATGCTGTGCCGGAGAGTCTGTATGTTGCTCAACGGGCCGACTTATCTGCACACGCCAGTCGCCCTACAGAACAGCTCTGATCTAGTGGGTCTCGGCCCTCTACACCAGGGATCTTCGTGTTCCCCTTCTGCATCAACATGGTTCGAGTCAGAGGATGACGTCAAGACAAAACTTCATAGACATCAAAAGTTGGATCCATGCGGCATCATGAAAATGTTAAGTATGTAGCAATGGTTTGAGCGGACATGCTGGATTGCGTCGTGGCTTACGCTGGTGGCATTGCATGTTGTCTGGTTGGCGACAAGCTACAGGGAAATTGTAAAGCTTATGATTTGCTTTACGGGTACCTAGGCCCGAAGGGTCCAAGTGCTTGCAAATATTTGCAAATGGTAGCCGACCACCTCCGGGCCAAGGTCAGCAAAATTACGAGGACCAGAACCCCAGGACTGAAACTACAGGAAAAAGATTGCGCAGGACCATCAGGTCAAACTGAATCCTGACGGATTCGCTGAAAAGGCTGGCAGCTAGCACCTGAAAAGGATCACTACACTTCGGGACCTAGCCAAACCTTACTTCGCTGCATGACATGCTCCTGAAGCCTCAAGTATCTTGATGTTTCCTGAGTTCGGGTGGACATGCAAAGCCTCGGATTCTCGCTGTCGCCGGCGCTGGCGCGTTCGGGCCTCCTGATGCAAGACTTCTTCAAGACGCCATATGCTTGCCGGGAGCGACGGCGCCTCTGCAAGAAGCTGCCTCAGCAACAGCTGCTTGGCCAGACAAGCTTAGGGTCGACAGTATCTACATGATGCCACACTGCCCAGCCACGTCGCTTGATACAACCCACACCCTATACCATCAACACAAGACATGACAAACCGAACTTGCGTCGGCATTTGCCATAGCTACTCGAACCACGTGAAATTGGGATCTGGCAAAACGCGTAGCGGGACGGCCATGCGCTGGTCTCGCTCATGGTCAGCATCATCTGGATCACCCTGGCAGCCAAAATGGAGCTCCCCTTCTCAAGTCCCAGCTGCCGACCATTAGTAAATTAGAGCCAGGCCGT